TGTGTGTGTGTGTGTGTGTGTGTGTGTGTGTGTGTGTGTGTGTGTGTACACAGTTCTTGTCTATTGACATGTGATAACATGCCTAGGTACCCTGAGAGTAAAAATGTATGCACTTAAACCTCTAAAATTCTTAGAGTCAAGTGATGTTTATGGGGGTTGTCGATACCCAAAAACTAAAACTAAAACTTCTGTAAATGTTCAGATATAAATGTTTTTATTTTCTCAGATGCAGGGATGATATGAGAGCCATACCCAAGCTATATGAATATGCTGCTTGGGCTAAGCCCAGAGCATTTCTTTCTCTGTTGTAGCTATCCTTAGGCTAGGCCTGGGAGCTTCTAGCCTCTGCACAATCTACTCTTCTGTAAACCTGAACCATGAAGGCTGTAGCTTCCAGGCTCTCTGCTAACCAAGGCCTGGAATGTTTCAGCCTCTAAAACTACTGTTGAATAAACTCACCCTTTTTACCTTCTTCTGAACACTCTCTGGCTGGTGCAACTGAGTTTTTCTGGCCCAAACTCCTCTATAAAGGGTTCAATCTGACTTCTCTCTTGGCTTCTGACTGAATTCCTCTTCTTGGCCTCAAACTAACTCCAGCAGTATGTTCTAATCTTCTGGCTGTGAGTCCAGGTAAATTTACACACACACAGCCTACTTCTACTACACTCTTCTGCATAGTTTTCTCTACTCTCTCTACCTTCTGTGCTCTCTTGAATCACCTCTCTTTCCTGTGCTCTTCTCATCAAAGTTGGTCATATCCTTTCTCTGACTCATTCTGTCAGATCTTTCTGGGATTCATCATTCTGTCCTTCATTTAAATGTCACTTTCAATGTGCTTCTATAATCTAACCTTACTTTTATTGTTTGGGATTAAAGATGTGTACTAAGGTTGTGTCTGCATTCCAGCCAGATCATATTTTTTGATATGGTCTCTTGCTAGAGCCATGCTGCCATGTTGCTGGATTAAAATTCCTGTATAAAACATCACAACTCTCAAAGAAAATAAGAGATAGTTTATCTGGAGCCGTTTTTTGAGTGAGCAGAGTTTGAGAACACCAGTTTAGGTTATGCCAAATTCCATGTTCTAACATGGAAGCAGTTTTGTAAACTTGTGGGTTTTGGAAAAAGAAAGTTTTAAATCAAGGCCAGTTTAAAATTCTTTGATGGGTACATTAGAGAAGTGGTTACAAGATAAGGGAAGATTTTCTGTAGACCCAAGAAGTTTCTGATGACTTACTTAGCTTAGGGGTTAGTGGAAGCTAATGGTCTGCTGTGTTAATAGGTTCCAAAGGTTTTTATTATTGACAAGATGTTATTTAAGACACAGAGGTGGACAGAGAATAGCTGTTCTGGAGGGCTAGAACTAGCCCAAGATAAGCCAATTAGTCTTTGGACCTGCAGCATTCTAATCCTTCCACACCACTGAAATTCTAACCAGTCCATCAGTCTCTACAGACACAGCTTCTTTTGGAATTTTCATTCACAGAATGTATATAGATATAGATGTATATTGCTGATATTAGCCACATTACTCCTCAGGATTTTGAATAGTCTTACCAATGTTCCCCATGTAAATTAAACTTAGTACATATCAGAAAAAAAAAAAAAAACCCCAAGATTACATAGTGAATTTCAGAAAGAAATAAGTGATTCCTATTCTTATCAGCAGAACAAATATGAGGATGCTGTGCTATTTAGCTCTAGGAATGAATCCTCAGAAAATAAATAAAGGAAAATTCTGCATTTGTCTTAGAGGAATAGAACTTGAAGATATCTAGGGTCAGGAACCTAGCTAAGTAGTCTAAGCTTCGTATCTCTCCTATAATTACAGTAAAGCTATCCTTAGGGTATTAGTTTTCTCAAGTGTCACTTGGATCAAAGGATCTGCCTCTGAACTCACTTGCTTAGCTGTTGATAGGAGGCTTCAGTTCCTTACCAAATCAGGCTTTCCCCAGACTTGCTTTAACATTGTTTCTTCTAGGCTAGAGTAAATAACCAAATGTTCTTATCAATGTTGGGAACTACAGTAACCTTGAGAAATGAGATAATAACAGTGTTGATGTAATGCACAGATCATTTGGGAGCTATCTGTTGCCATTGTATATTGCAAAACAATCTTATTAGTTTGTGCCAGTAGTCTAATGAGATAAAAACGCTGCAAATCAGTTGATTCTTGGTGATACATGTATGACTCAGCTTATGTGCTCATGCCCAACTTTTGTAAATTGCAGATCTCAGGTGTTCACTATGAGGTCTTAGACTTCTTCAAATAAATATCAGAATTGGGGTATGGGAGATTACTTTTTTTGTCTTGTCTCACTAGTATTATTGCTAATATTTTTGTTTATACTTTATTTTTATAATGAATAGTGTATTGATTCACTTTTATATAGTTATAATTATTTACTTTTTAAACATAATTATCTATTACTAGGAAAGACTTTAAGCAGAAATATTTTAACACAAATATCCAGTTTAATAATGATTTTTATTTCGTAGGTTTTACAACCTTGTGACTTGTTTTATCAGGCTACTCAAACAGGTACAGATCCACAAATGATTGATATATCAGTAAAGTCTCTTACACTAAAGGTAAGTTAAACCATAAACATTAAAATTGATTTGGTGATAGGTCTGTCTTAGCCACTTAAGAAGCTAAAGTATAAGAATTGTGAGTTTCAGTCCTATCTGAAGTACAGAGCACTGAGCTCTCAGCCAGCCTGCACAACTCATGAAACCCCATCTAACCAGCACCACTGCCAGCTTTAAAAGGATGGAGCTCATTGGTAAAGCACTGTGTAGCATTTACTGGGCCTACGTTATGCCCTTGGCTCACAAATGAATAGTTTTGGAAGTATATGTATTAAATTTATTAAATACTGTTAATGTAAACTTATGGTGAATGCTAAATTTTATTAACATATGACTGTTTTATAGTTGATTTCTAGTATACATATAATTGTAGTCATATTTAATTGGTTTAATAGTAACTATAGACTTACAAATATTTTCCCAAACTTACCTAAATCAGGCTTTCCCTAGTCTTGCTTTAACATCGTTTCTTCTAGGCTAGAGTAATAACCAAATGTTCTCACCAATGTTGGGAACTACAGTAACGTTGAGAAATGAGGTAATAGCAGTGTATATCTATTATCTACAGTGCATTCCTAGTTCAGCCTTAATTCTTCACGTTCATTCAGCAAATGTATATAATCCATTTTTAAATTTTGTTTTTTCATTTAGGTTTCACCAGTTATCATAAATACCATAATCACTATTACTTCAGCACTTTACACAACTAAGGAAACCATCCCAGAAGAAAACACTTCTTCTATAGCACATTTATGGGACAAGAAGGATACAAAGAGTCTAAAAATGTGGTTTCTTGAAGAACCAAATGAAACAGAAAAAGTAACTCCTGCAAATGAATTGATGCTGAAAGGAGAGACACTGAACTTGAATATCGATTCTATTTTTATAGTTCTTGAGGCTGGAATTGGTCATAGGACAGTGCCAATGCTATTGGCAAAGTCACGCTTTTGTGGGGAAAGTGAAAACTGGAGTACTTTAATAAATCTTCACTGTCAGCTTGAGCTAGAGGTAAGCATGTCTAGACTTTTTTAGGTTTTGTAATACTTCATATAGAATATTCTGGGATCCTGGATCACTATTTAAATTGAGTGTACTGTAAATACTGATACTGGCTTTAAATCTTGTAGAAGAAAGGTTACAGGTTTATCACCTTGATATTTTATCTCTCTCTATATATGATATTATAAAGATGTTATATATTCTATGTACATATAATATATTCAGTACATGACTCAAACTCTGAAATCCTGGGGAAGGCAGGGAAGCTCATCATGATGCCACCAACACACTGCATCTTGAATCATATGGTACCTGCCGTGGAGGGATTTTAGTTATGGGTGGTAGATTGGCAAGTTTTCAAGTGTCAGTAATATGTGATGGATGAACGCAGGACTTGCTGCTTGGTCTAGGATGACACTAAGGAAAGCTGCTTTACAGAGGGTCCCAAGTCTGCAGGAAGGGTCAGTGGGTAAAGGAACTTACCACCATGCTGACAACCAGAATTCAATTCCCCAGACCCTTGTGGTAGAAAAAGAAAGAACTGGTTAGGACAACTGCTAGTTGTCCTATTACTGAAATGTGTACACATGTAAATAAATAAGTGGAAAGGGGGGTTCTGTTTTACTAAAATGTGGAAGTAAAATTTCATCTCCAAAGGTAAGCCAGGTGAAGAAAGTACAGAAAGATTATGTATAGCAAACTGTGATTGACATGAAAAAGGTTTTTTATATAGAACAAATAGCACAGTCAAAAGGCATGGTGGTGAGAAGTAGCATTAAAAAAATCATTTTAGATAGTTAGAATGCTTTATTTAAAAAACTAAAAATTCTCTTTTTAGGTTCACTATTATAACGAAATGTTTGGTGTTTGGGAACCTTTACTAGAACCTTTGGAAATTGATCAAACAGACGATTTTAGACCATGGAATCTTGGGATCAAGGTATGTACGTGTATATTATTCTCTTAAAGTTTACAGCAAAATTGGTAATGTGTAGTTTCCCCATATGTCCTCTGCTTCCAGCATATTTATAACTTCATTTTTAACAGCCTCAATCAAAGTATATTTGAAGTCCGAAAAACAGTTTAGAAGAAAAAGCTTTCCAAAGTTTTTGAAGCCATCCATACTACATTATACACTTTATCTCATTTGTTTGTTTGTTTGCAAGTGGTTGTTTTGCCTGTATCTATGTTTGTACACCATATGCTTGCCTGGTGTTCACAGAGACTAGAAATGGTCATCAGATCCCCTGAGTCTGGAGTCACAGGCCATTGTGAGATACCATGTGGGTGCTAAGAGTCAAACCCAGGTCCTCTGCAAGTGCATTTAGCCACTGAGCCACTGCTCCAGCCCCATATGAGCCCAAAAATGTTATAGACTTTCCTAAAGTAAAAATAGTGGCCTGCAAAGTAACAGAGATCTCATTCTTCACTTACTGCAGCCATGATCTTTTAGGTTGTGGTCAATCCCAAATTTCCTTTGTTCTGTGAGTGGGCTGACTGACGCTCTCTTTTCTTCCCTCCCTCCCTCCCTTCAGCCTTCCATCTTTCTCCCTTAGCTCTACCTTCCTCTTTCTTCCTCTCTACTATTCCTTCCTCTCTACAGTCCATTGAAGATTATATGTCATTTGCTTGAAATATATTGTGATTTTATATAATCTTAAGACTCAGTGCCTTTAAATAGGTGAAATTGTGCTTGTGAAGCAAGGAATTATCTAATTACAGATGTTTCTACCTAATGATGACCTCAACTTGTAGACAAATCTAGTAAGGTAAAATATCTCTGAATTCAAGGCTAGCCTTGTCTACAGGGTGGATTCCAGGCCAGGCAGGGCTACAGAGAGGAACCTTGTCTTGAAAAGCTGAAGTAAATGAAAATAATATCAGCTACATATCTAGGTTGGCATGTCTACCATATGTATTTAAACTATTTAATTCTCTGGGTGGTTATACCAGATGAAGGATTTCAATTAACTATTTTCATTGGTAGTTTTTAGATTAGACTATACATGAGCAATGAGTCTCTGAATTCCGGAAAGAAGTAAAAAATACTTACAAATTTTGGCCACATGGCATTTCTCTGCTACGTTTATGTAACTGTGGTAGTCCCTAGTTCTGTTTCTATTACCAGGACCAATACACTAAACTGCTGTTCACGACTTTGTAGTGAAGTGTAAGCTTTTGGTTTACCTGCAGATTCCATCAATACTTAGTAACTTTCAAAGTTTTTCTTTCTTCTAAATTATTGCATTGGATAGAATTTGTTTTCCTTTAATATTTCCTTCTCTCAGCTTTATGGCATTACTTGGCATGTCCAAGAAATTTCACCGGCAGTATGACCCATGGAATTTATAGCTCTTTCTGTAATGGTGTTTGCTTTTACTTTACAGATAAGTTATACTCCTAAAAACAAATTCTTTTCTTTTATGTCTAATTTTAATTTATCATTTTAGATGAAAAAGAAAGCAAAACAGGCCATTGTTGAGTCAGAAAGTGAAGAAGAAAACTACAAAGTCCCAGAATATACAACTGCCATAAGTTTTTATTCTAAAGACCAGTTAAACATTACATTATCCAAATGTGGCCTAGTGATGTTAAATAATTTAGTCGAGGTAAGAAAAAATATTTGAACCTTTAAATATTGACCCTTAATTGAGTAAAGTTGTTGTATATCTAATTATATTTCTTATGTGCTTGGCCCACATTTTATTTTCTCCAAATTTTTCCTGTAAGGCATTTACCGAAGCTGCAACTGGATCTTCAGCTGTCTTCCTTAGGGATCTAGCACCATTTATGATTTTAAATTCTCTTGGACTTACTGTCTCTGTTTCACCAAGTGATTCTTTCAATGTACTCAACCTTCCTATGGCAAAATCCTATGAGCTGAAAAATGAAGAGAGTTTAAGTATGGATTATGTACGAACTAAGGACAACGACCACTTCAGTGCAATGACCAGCCTAAGCAGCAAACTCTTCTTCATCCTTCTTAGTAAGTGTTATATTTCCTTTCTGGAGCTTTGAGAAGTTATCTGTAAAGGAAATTTTACTCATATATAGTACCTTCTTAGCATGTTTATTTTAAGCAGTATGTTTTCTAATACATTGCCACTATATTAATTACCTTTCTGTTACTGAGGTAAAACACTGTGACCAAAGCAACTTACAGAAGAAAGACTTTGTTTGGCTTGAAGGTTCCAGAGGGTTAGAGTCTATGATGGCAGAGTAGAGTCAACAGGAATAGTGATTGGACTAGCAAGGGCAGTGTTCCCATCTTGAACTGCAAGTAGGAAGCAGAGAAGAAAATGAGAATGGTGGGAGGCTTTGAAACCTCAAAGCCCACTCCAGTGATGCACTTCCTCAAAAAGGCTGCACATCCTAATCTTCCTAAACAGCTCAGCCAAATAGGAACCAAATATTCAAATGCCAGAACCTGTGGAGGACAGTCTCATTCAAACCACCACAGGGACATTATTTTCCTTTCGAGTATGTTATCAAAATAGGTGACTTCTTAAAATAATCCCTTAATACTGATTATATTTAGACTTTTTCATTTAGGAGACAATCATCTGGTATTTAACATGCATTTAAAACTAGTACATCATAAATTCTGATTAACTCTAGAACATCTGTATTTAATTTAGCACCTGCTAACCACTCTGCTGCTGATAAGATCCCTTTAACAAAAGTGGGACGCCGTCTGTACACTGTAAGACACAGAGAATCTGGAGTTGAAAGATCTATTGTTTGCCAAATTGACACAGTTGAAGGAAGTAAGAAGGTAACAATTCGCTCACCAGTGCAGGTATGAAGTAAGGAATCCGTAGAAGTTCTTTTTATGCATATGTCTGAAGTGGGCTGGGACTGTGGCTCAGTTAGTAGAATGCCTGCCTTGAATGTAGGAAGCCCTGAGTTGATCCCCGATCAACACCACAAACACACATATGATATGTTTCTAATCCCAGCACCCAGGAGATCGGCAGGAGGGATCGTCCTTGTCTACTCAGTTTGATGCCAGCCTGGGATATATGAAACCTATTTCAGAAAAAAGAAAAGAGAAATATTCAAGTTCCTTATTGCTAAAAGAATACAAACTGTTGTAGAAAGACAGCCGATGATAAGATTATCATCAGTAAATACTCCTATGACATGAGCTGTGGAGCATCATCATTTCTTACAGAACTGCTTTATACAATGTTTTTAGCATTTTGTCAAAATATTTTTTATATTTTGCTTTGTCTTTATAGCACAGTTATATTTTTAATAGTAAAACTATCAAAGAAATTTTAGACATACTGAGATTTATACAGTAAATACCATATGAAGTTATAGTTTTTGACATAAAGATACGGTTAACGAACCTTCATAGCTGTTAAGATAATGAAAGTATTTACCACTCAGAAACTCCATTGTCTCCCTAGACATCCCTTCCTATACATCCATTTAGCTCATTATACATTAGTTATACAGTCTTGAATTTTATATAGGCATAATAAAGACTAGAATTTGGCCTTTTCATACTTCTCAGTGAAAGCTATATATTCTGCTGAGAATACTACATTTTCATTTTGAGTGAGTCTATATATATAGAGGTGAGGTTTGGGGTTCAAAGTTTCCATTTGGTTATCCAATTGCTGCAACCCACATAATCTTTTCCCCTTATCCTCATTGGCCTAAAATATTAGTGGTCTATTTATGAATTCTGTTCTTCATTAATCTGTTTATTTTTATGCCAGTACCATACTCTCTTGATTACTCTCCGATTCCAAGTTATAAATCCTGGTATCTCACCTTATTTTTTTTTCCTGAATTCTTTTAACTAATGTAAGTATTTTCCTTTTTAAAAATAAAATGGGCTTCTTATTAAATTTTTATTTTTGATTTCCCACTACTATTATTTAGAAAACAGGTTATTATACCATTCATATATAGTTTTCTACTTATTAGACTCATGCTTGTTCTAGTAGATTTTAATAATTATTATACTTGCAAAAAAAAAGGACTTTTTTCGTTTTGTTTTGTTTTGTTTTTTTGTTTTTGTTTTTGTTTTTCAGACAGGATTTCTCTGTGTAGCCCTGGCTGTCCTGCACTCACTTTGTAAACCAGGCTGGCCTTGAGCTCACAGAGATCCACCTGCCTATACCTCTGCTGGGATTAAAGGCATGTGCTACCATGCCTGGCTTCGTACCATTTTGTTAATGTGATAAGTGACCTAGATTTTCAGACATTAATCCACAATATTCCTAATATAAATCTTTGTCTTAAAATTTTTAAGTTTCTAGAGTACTGTTAGATTTGGTTTGCTAAAAACATGTTTAGAACTTTTGCATTTATATTCATAAAAGATGTTGGTCTAATGTTTTAATGTCTTTAGAAGTTTTAAACTACAGTTTGACTTGATCTAAGAAATTGGTTCTTAAGATTATACTGTTACTTAAGTGAGTACTTAGCACTAATTCTGAAGTGTTGGGAAATTTTTCCAATAGGTGAATTTAGTTTTTAGTTATTTATAATTCCTTATTTTAACATGTATAAATTTATAATGACTGTAAGTCACAGACTTTATTTGAAGTAATTCAGCTATTTAAATATTTTTGTTTATGTATTTTTAATAATACAGTGTTTGTATTAGTCCTTTGAGAATTTCATATAGTGTATTTGATCACATTCATCCCCACTCCTCTGCCGCAGCCCTTCCCAGACCCAGCCCTTCTCATGCCTGCACCCCGTGCATCTTTTTTTTAAGAGACTGCCTAGCAGCAGAGGGTCTGAACATCTGGTTCTTAAAATATTTCTGCTCTTTTCCTGAGCCTTAAGTAGACATTGTGTTATGTATTAATTAGAGGCAGGCATTCCACAGGTCAGTTGGTCTCTACATTTTGATCAGTTTGTTGCTTTCTGCACTTATGTCTGTCTGCTACAAAAAGAAGCCACTTTGATGAGGAGTGGGAGCTACATGTATCTGGATATAAAGACAAGCATTAAGATGGAGTTAGAAAAGTGGAAATAATAGGCTTTAAGTAACCTTTAACTTCCATGGTCTTAGCCAGCTATCGGTAGTTGGCTAAGTTTACAGTGCCAGGCATGAATTTCTTTCTATAGAGAAAGCCTTAGTCCAGTTAGGTAGCTGATGGTTAACCCCAGTATATAAGTGCCACCATTATATAACATCATACCTTTCAAAATTTCTTGGCAGTCTCATCGTTGTGGATAAGGAAGGTAGGAATATTGACTTGATTTTTTTTTTTCCCCCTTGGCAAGTAGGATGGCTCTTCCTATACTGTGAAAGCTAATCTTTAGAAGGCTTCAAGATCAGTTCCAGGTTTAATCCTCCAAGTTTTATGTCTAAAGTGTGCAGTGTTTGGCAAAAGGACCTTACCTATTTTTGGAAGGCACCAAGGGCAATAACAATACTCTGTATGCTTTAAGGGCTCCATTGTACTTGCCTCACCTACATAAAAAAGCCTTCTTATGCCTGGCACTGGGATTTTTGTAAGTCTATAATTTTGAAGGGAACATTGTCTCCTGTGTGTGTGTGTTTTCATAATTTTAAGTTAGCATAAAAATAATACCCTATGGCTTTTTTAAATATATAATCATCTATTACACCGCAAATCTTTTCCTTTTCTTATTCTGGTTTGTTTTTTCTTGTTTTTGGTTTTGTTTTTTGAGACAAGATTTCTGTGTGTAGCCTTGGCTGGCCTGGAACTTATTCTGTAGACCAAGCTGTCCTCAAACTCAGAGACCTACCAGCCTGCTTCTGCCTCCAGAATGCCACCACTGACTGGCAGACATTTCCTATTTAACAAAAGGATACCACAATGTATTATAAATAAGCAAAATACAACAGAGATTATTATTAAAATAATCCTTATTATTGACAGTGATAATTTACTACATGTATCATTTTAAAATGTTATAGAATATGAATTTCTTGTATTTAGTAGTCAGGAAAAATAACGTCAAGGGTAAAATTTACTTGTGGTCACCAGCTAGTAAGTAATAGTGTCAAGATTTGGTTTCAGGGTTTTTATCTCTTTAGGAATAGATTTCTTTTTAGTGTAAATGTTGACTTTGTTACGCTGGTGTGGATAGTCATAAGTATAGGAATTATTCAGTAGAATGACACATTACAGCTGTATTTTTTATTAGTTTATAAAGGTTAGAAAATTTACATCCACCATTTCAGAGACTGGGTAGTCTGAGTAGAGGCACCAGCCCCAGTGCTTGATGAGAACTGCTGTTAAATGCTCTGCTTCCAAGACAGTAATTTGCAGTCGGTCCTCATCAGTAAAAGTCAAGAAGCAAGAGAGTGTGAACATGCACCTTTACATGGAACATGCTGTGATATGACTGTGTTTGAACTCTTAGTTCCTAAATGGTGGCACTGTTGGGAAGGTTATGAACATCTTAGGAAGTGTAGTCTCTCTGGAGAAAATTGGTCACAGCGGACAAGACCTTGAACTTTTATATCTTGAGAATCACTTTCTTACTGTAGCAGTGTAACTAGCCCCCTCAAGCTTCTGCAACCATGCCTTTCTCACCACGATGTGCAGTGCATCCTCCCAGCAAAAAACAAAATAAACCTTCCTCCTTTAAGTTGCTTCTTGTCAAGTTATTCAGTCACACACACACTCATACTCACACACACACACATACAACAGCAAAATAATAAAATGGGAAGAGCTGCACGGTGTGAGTATATGTAAGTTATGTGTCTGTGCAAGTGTGCTGTGAGAGTGCTTATATATGTGTGTGTGTGTGTGTGTGCTTATATATATTGCTCTGTTATTTCATTTTCTTAGAATTAATCACCTTTTTTCAGTGCTATTGTCTTTCCTTTTTAATTTTTAAAATTGTTATCTATGTGTACTGGTGGTTTTTCTGTATCATATCTGTATACCATTTGCATGCCTGGTGCCCACAGAGGCCAGAAGAGGCATTGGAGGCCCTGGGACTGGAGTTCCAGGTGGTTATGAACTGCCATATGGGTGCTGGAATGAAACAGTAGTCCCTGTGAGAGGAGTGAGCGCTACTAGCTACTAGATCAGAGTGCTAGCTGTTTATATCATCTGCTTATAACCAGCATTTTCCAAATTAAATCTGGTAAGAAAACAGACAGACCGAAGCCTTGGTATCTAGCTGTACACTTTAAATAATATTGGGCTCTTAGACTGTACTTATTTGCATCAGCAGTTAGTTGAGTATAAAATTTAGTTAATGTTGTTATCAGCAGAAATGTGATTGTAAAATTGAAATAGGATTTTATTGTTTTAATTATTTGAAATTGCTCATTTTTATGAATTGAACCATTTTCACTTTATTATTATTATTGTTATTAATACTATTACTATATTTACAATTTATTCACTTTGTATCCCAGTTGTAGCCCCTCTCTCATCTCCTCCCAGTCCCACCCTCCTTCTCTCTTTCTCCCCTATTCCTCTTCCCTAGTGCACTGACAGGGGAAGTCCTCCTCCCTGACTGTCTGACCCTAGCCTATCATGTCCCATCAGGACTTCCTGGATGCTCTTCCTCTGTGAGCTGGATAGGTTGCCCTAACAGAGAGAAGTGATCAAGGAGCAGGCAACCAAGTTCATGTCTGTGTGTGGTCTTTGGTAGATGCCTCAGTCTCAACAGTTCCCCCATGGGCTCTTTTTTTTTTGTTTGTTTGTTTGTTTGTTTTTGTTTTTTGGCTTTGTTGATCTCATTGTGTGCCTCCTGCCCCCTCTGTGTCCTTTTATTTCCCCCTTTTTCTATAAGACCTCTAGGATAAACCTACTAAAATCTATACACCTAAAGAAACTAATAAAGGGGGAGGACTCTGGCTAAAATGCCCAATCCTCATTCAAAAAGGTAAAGAGGATGGACATCAGAAGAAGGAGAAAACAGGGAATGGGACAGGAGCCTGCCACAGAGGACCACTGAAAGACTCTACCCAACAAAGGGTATCAAAGCAGATGCTGAGATGTCGCGCGCGGCCTTTGTCGATAAGGACAACGCAACAACTGAGGATTTCTTTAGCAGCAAGTTTATTGAACAGCTCTTTCTTGTAGATGGTGAAGGACCCAAACCCCGGGTTGTGCTCTGCTTAAATAGCCAGCAGCGCAACCTGTCCGTTTGTAATTGGTGCTCTGTTCAAGTCTTTATAAGCATATGGCTGGCAATTGGAGTGCAGCCTAAACCCTCATTAGCATAAAGCTGCGCATGCGTAAACTGCAGGGCGGCGCAGGCAAGAAGCGCGAAAATGCTGGCAAGAAGAACCAGGAAGCAGGAAGCCGGCGCCATCTTGTAATGGCGGGAGCGGCTCCCGACATCTCCCCCTTTTATATATATTAAAGGCCATCTCAATCAGAAAAATAACATACCATGAGGTTATCGATCAGCCTGTTGAGCCAACAGCGTCAGCGATCAAGGAGTTTACACAGTGTAAGAGACCCTCTGCACCTTGAGTCCCGTGTAATGGGAACCTGAGCCCTGGGAGGTGCAGAAGTCTGTCTTGAACAGCATCCTGGTGCAATGGGAACCTGTGCCCGTCAGGAGTGCTACAAGTTTAGACAGTGTCTCAACGACTGAGCATGTTAAGCCAAACTTGGGGAGATGCTCCCTGTTCCACAGCCAGCATAGCCCGCACCATGGCCACATTTTTAAGATGTTGCTGTCTCTTAAAACGGCAGAGCAACCAAAAACAGAGGAACAGCCCCGCGAGCATAAACTGGCATTGGTCGTGGGAATGTTGATAGGATCCCCCAGCGGATCTCCTGGGTCTCCACCTCCAGGTTCATCTGCACTCCGCTTCTTGATCCTTGCAGAAAAGTACCGCGGTTTCGCACTGCTGGCTTGAATCCTCCTCCGACGAGCAGTCGGGGGTCCTTCGAGTCGTTCCTCCGCCCAGGGTTCGGCAGGTTTCCCGGGTTTCGGCACCACTTGTCGCGCGCGGCCTTTGCCGATAAGGATGACGCAACAACCGAGGATTTCTTCAGCAGCAAGTTTATTGAACAGCTCTTTCTTGCAGATGGTGAAGGACCCAAACCCCGGGTTGTGCTCTGCTTAAATAGCCAGCAGCGCGACCTGTCCGTCTGTAATTGGTGCTCTGTTCAAGTCTTCATAAGCATATGGCTGGCAATTGGAGTGCAGCCTAAACCCTCATTAGCATAAAGCTGCGCATGCGTAAACTGCAGGGCGGCGCAGGCAAGAAGCGCGAAAATGCTGGCAAGAAGAACCAGGAAGCAGGAAGCCGGCGCCATCTTGTAATGGCGGGAGCGGCTCCCGACACTGAGACTTATGGCCAACCTTTGGGCAGAGTTCAGGGAATCTTACGAAAGAAGTGGGAAATAGTAAGACCTGGAGAGGACAGGAGCTCCACAAGTTGAGCAACAGAACCAAAAAATCTGAGCACAGGGGTCTTTTCTGAGACTGATACTCCAACCAAGGACATTGTTGGAGATAACCTAGAACCCCTGCACAGATGTAGCCTATGGCAGTTCAGTGTCCAAGTAGGTTCCATAGTAATGGGAACAGGGACTGTCTCTGACATGAACTGATTGGCCTGCTGTTTGATCACCTCCCCCTGAGCAGGGAGCATCCTTACCAGGCCTTACAGAGGAAGACAGTGGAACCACTCCTGATGAGACCTGGTAGACTAGGATCAGAAAAAAGGAAAGGAAGACTTCCCCATCAGTGGACTTGGGGAGGGGCATCCATGGAAAAGGGGGTGGGACAGTGAGATTGGGAGGGGAGGAGAAAGGGGACTATGGGAGGATACAAAGTAAATAAAGTGTAATTAATAAAAAAATGAAAATTTAAAAAGAGCAGGTAAAACTAAAGCCTACTGTTCTGTTTTCCTGTTAGTCTAGAGGAAATGTGGTTAATTTGGCTATATATTGTATATGTATATTTCTATCCTTTTGTTTTTTTCAAGTCTTTGTTTATCTGTTTGTTTTGGTGACAGGTTCTTTTCTTTTAATGATTTTTTTATTCTTATTTTATGTGCATTGGTGTTTTGCCTGCATGTATGTGAAAGTGTTGGATCTCCTGGAACTGGAGCAACAGACACTTGGGAGCTGCCTTGTGGGTGCTGGGAATTCACCTGTGTCCCTTGGAAGAGTAGCCAGTGCTCTTTACCACTGAGCCATCTCTCCACTCCTGGTGATAAGTTCTTACTCTGTGGCCTCAATTGGCTTCAAATGTGACTGGTTGCTCAGTCTTGAGATGGCATGTTTGAGTCACCACCCCTGATTTCCTCATGTCTTTAAAACTATTTCATGTGCACATTAAGTACACGTTATGTTTTGTTTTGAATTGTGATGTTACTATATTCCATCATATGTGAAAAAAATTTAGTGAGTATGGTGAACATGACACTTTATGCATGTGTGTAAGTATTTGTTTAAGTATATAATTTAAAAATATTGCTATGACTCAGAAAATGTGGATTTTCCTTTTTAATTTGTTTTTTGCAAAAAGTTATTTTATCTATTACCCAATCAGCGGTCTCTGAGCATTTTTGTTCTCACTGTGTGTTCGTATTTTTGCTGTTTGCTGTTGAGCTCCATGCCTTGTTCATAGAAGGCTATAGTCCCAGTTTGGAGGCACATGACTTTTAACCTTTTATTTTCAAGGTTTCTGGGTGTTGTTTATTTGGGTGGGGGGATGCCAGTTTTGTTGTGAAAAGTTTGCCTGCGGATAATTTGTGTTTTCTCGCTTTCTAGAAACATTGAATATCTCTCTCTCTCTCTCTCTCTATTTGTTAGTAGTTAGCTTTTTCTTCTGGGGATTTTCTGTTTATCCTATTTCTTTTTCATTGTGCTGTTTTTAATGATTTTCAAGTTTTGTGTGTGTACTGTTCTAGACCTTTTGTTAACTGTATTACTGACATTTCCCAGTCTGACATGGCATGCTTTATTTTGACATACTTACCTTGCTGTTCATTTTTGACTTGTTGTTCATTTTTGAAGCCATTCAAATGTAATGTATGTAGTGTATCTTAATCATACTGTATTCCTCCTTCTGTCCACCTCCCTCTGCCCGTTTCCCCAGCATATCTCCTCTCCCACTTAATGTCATTTATTTTTAAAGTCCACTAACTCCAGTAAATGAATGGAGAAGCTGCCAGTATCCCCTCTTCAAAGAACAATGACTCCCCTCCTGACCAGTAGCTGCTGAGCTGTGTACTTGTTGTGAGCCCCTTCTTCATCCACGCTGACTTTTAAAACTGTTCTGACCTTGTATAAGTACGCGCGGTGTGAGTTCATGTCCCCAGGCCAGCATTTCCCAGTACTCCTCTCTTCCTCCAGTTCTTAGAGTCTTTCTACCTTCCACAGTGTTCTGAACCTTGGGGGAACCATGTGTGTGCGTGCATGCATGTGCACGTTTTCCCTGGTTGGGTCTTTGACACTTTCATACATCTATACAGAATATTTTGATTATTGTAACTCTCACTCTCTCTGTTCTCCCTTCCTCTCCTCATATACATCCTCTTCCAGACAAACTTTCCTCACATTCATGCAGGGTTTTTTGTTGCAGACAGTCACTCCATTCGTTTAATTAAACTAGGATCTTGTACATAAAAAATGTATATATTCATCTGTTCTATAAGCCAAAATAAGCTATAGTATTGGTTTTAATGTAATTTTTATTTATTCTTTTAAGAATTTCATGTGTATATAACTTATTTTGATACATATTTATCCCATACTTCTTCTTCAAATGCTCCCTAAACATCCTCCCCTTACATCCCTTTCCCAATTTCATGTGCCCATTTTTTTAAAAGCACAGTGAGTCCAATTAATTCTGCCCTTAATGTGCTTCTGTGTAGGGCCATCCTTTGGAACATGAGCAACTTACCAGGGGCAACACTTCTGACGAAAACTGACTCTCCCTCCCCAAGCAGCCACCAGTGGCAAAAGCTCCCCAGCTGGAGTGGTGTCTTATGCATCCCTCCCTCATCTATGTTGGGTTGTTGGCTGGCTTAAAGTTATTTTCCTATTAAAAAAAAAAAAAAAAACAAATAGTTTCCTTTCATTCTTAAAGATAAACAATTGTATGTTTATTTTTAGTTTATATGACCAAGCTGAATAGTGCCTGATAGTTTCTATGTTAAGATATGTAGGTGGACATACTTTTAAAATACCTTCTCTTATATTAATATTAAATATATTTTCTTCCAGATTAAGAACCATTTTTCAATCCCAATTTCCATTTTTGAAGGAAATACTTTATTGGGAACTGCTTCACCTGAAAATGAATTCAATATACCATTAGCATCTTACCGGTGAGTTCTTTTATCTTTTTATTTGCCCCAAACTGTTTTAGAGAATGTTCAGTTTCAGATTCAATGTAGATTTTGCCTTTAAATTATGAAACTTTCATCCATTCTACACTCCTAAATATCACATCCAGCCTTGATTTCAAGGTACTTAGGTATCTTTTCAAAAGTAAAAATTATTATTGTATTTTAATGTCTGCATATTATTTGTATTTTTACTAATTAATACAGCTATTATATATTTGCAGTGTTCCCATTGTGACCATACTCACATCTTCATGTGTTTTAAAATGTCTAAAATAACATGATTTGTTTCCTACATTTATAGATTATGAAGGGATTTTTACTATTCAAAGGTTTTATAATAGAAATTTTTAAAATTCCTTTAGAAACAGTATTTTTTGTATCTATATCTGTTAATTGTTTGGGGATAGAATTGAAATGTAATCTTAAATACTTAAATAAAAAATCTTGATGTAAATATGTTTCAAAAAAAGATACATGAAATGATGGTAAATTAAGACTTAAATTGTGTATTTTTATATAATAAATGATGGTCAGGCTATTCAATTTAAAAGACAACAGGTGTAGAAGATTCAGTGTCCAATTGAGTCAAGTTCCAGCACCATCACATGTAATGTAGAAATATATGGAAGATATTTAAACTTTTAAGGCTAGATGTTAGGAAAGTAATTAGGGGTAGAGGTTGTTTTGACAGCTCGTCCATAAGAGATAGAATCATAACAAGTCTTAATGGAAGGTTTGTATAGAAGATTAGTTTAGAAGCAAAAGTGCTTGCCTGAGAAGTATGCAGTTTTATCACCAAAACTGTAGAAAAATGGCTAGTTAATTAAAACTTACATAAACATATAAAGATTTTTTAAACTTTTAATTTTTTATGTATTACAATTTATTCACTTTGTATCCCAGCTGTAGCCCCCTCCCTCCTCCTTTCCAATTCCACCTCCTCTCCCTGATCTCCTCCCATGACCCTCCCGCAGTCCACTGATAGGGAAAGTCCTCATCCTTTTCCAACTGACCTTAGCCTGTGAGGTCTCAACAGGGCTGGCTGCATAGTCTTCCTCTGTGGACTGGCTAGGCTGCCCCCACCCCTCAGGGGGAGGTGATCAAAGAGCCTGCCATTGTGTTCATGTCAGAGACAGCCCATGTTCCCCTTACTAGGAGACTGAGCTGCCATGGGCTACATTACAGGGGTTCTAGGTTATTACCATGCATGGTCTTTAGTTGGAGTATGAGTCTCACAAAAGACCCCTGTGCCCAGATTTTTTGGTTCTGTTGCTCTCCTTGTGGAGCTCCTGTCTCCTCCAAGTTTTTCTATCTCCCCCTTCTTTGATGAGATGCCCTGCACTCTGCACAAATCTTGGCTATGAGTCTCAACATCTGCTTTGATACCCTGAAGGGTAGAGTGTTTTAGAGGCCCTCAGTGGTAGGCTCCTGTCTTGTTCTCTGTTTTCTTCCTCTTCCAATGTCTATCCCATTTGTCTTTCTGCTGGAGAGGATGTGGAGAAAGAGGAACCCTCCTCCATTGCTGGTAGGAATGTAAACTTGTACAATCACTTTGGAAATCAATCTGGCACTTTCTTAGACAATTAGGAATAGTGGTACTCAAGATCCAGCTATATCACTCCTAGGCATATATCCAAAATATGCTCAAGTACACAATAAGGACATTTGCTTAACCATGTTCATAGCAGCCTTATTCATAATAGCCAGAATCTAGAAAGAACCCAGATATCCCTTAGCTGAAGAATGTATATAGAAATTGTAGTACATTTACACAGTAGAATACTACTCAGCAATAAAAAACAAGGAAATCACGAAATTTACAGGCAAATGGTGGGAACTAGAAAAGATCATGTTGAGTGAGGTAGCCCAGAAGGAGAAAGACACATGTTATATACTCACTTATAAGTGGATACTAGACATATAGGATAATCATACTAAAATCTGTACACCTAAAGAAGCTAAGCAAGAAGGAGGACCCTGGGAAAGATGCAAAATCCTCATTCAAAGATTTTTTTTTTTTATTAATTACAGTTTATTTACTTTGTATCCCCTCCATAAGCCCCTCTCTCCTCCCCTCCCGGTCTTACCCGCCCTCCCCCTTCTTCACGCATGCCCCTCCCCAAGTCCACTGATAGGGGAGATCCTCCTCTCCTTCCTTCTGATCTTATTCTATCAGATCACATCAGGAGTGGCTGCATTGTCATCTTCTGTGGCCTGGTAAGGCTGCTCCCCCCTCAGGGGGAGGTATCAAAGAACAGGCCAATCAGATTATGTCAGAGGCAGTTCCTCTTCCCATTACTATGGAACCCACTTGGACACTACACTGCCATGGACTACATCTGTGCAGGGGTTCTAGGTTATCTCCATGCATGGTACTTGGTTGGAGTATGAGTCTCTGGGAAGACCCCTGTGTTCAAATTTTCTGGTTCTGGATTATTATTTTTTTTTTTTAAGAGTGATTCTTGGATGTTTCTTAGTTTTTTTTTTTTTTTTAATTACACTTAGGGCTGGGGAGATTGATAAGTAGGTAAAGTGCTAAGACTTGAATTCCTAAAAGTCATGTAAAAGCTATGTGTAGCATCATGCCTGTAATCACAACCCTGGGGAGGTGGGAGAGGTGATTTGGGGCCTTGTGAGCCACTCAGTCTAGCCAAATCATAGCTCCAAACTTGGGGAGAGACCCTGGTATCTATAAGCAAATGCATGCAGCCTCACATACATGCACATACCACACAGAACAATGTTTTTTAAAATACCGAGATTTAAGAATATTTTGAGTGTCAGTCTCAGAAAAGACCCTGTGCCCGGATATATTTGGTCCTTGTAGAGCTCCTATCCTTTCCATATCATACTAACTTCCCTTCTTTCATATGATTCCCTGCACTCTGCCGAGGGTTTGGTTATGAGTCTTAGTGTCTGCTTTGAAACACTGCTAGGTAGAGTCTTTCAGATGCCTTTTGTGGTAGACTCCTGTCATACGTTCAATGCACATCCCATTTGTCTTTCTAAATGAGAATTAATCACCTTCGCCTGTGTCCACTTTCTTGATTCCTCCCCTATCAGTAGACTTGGAAAGGGGCAGGGAAGAGACCAGGGAGGGAGTGCGGGGTTGGGGAGGGAATGAGGGAACGGGATACAGCTGGGACACAGAGTTAACAAAATGTAACTAAAAAGAAAAATAAAATTAAAAAAAATATTTTGAATGTATATATATATTGAAGTTTGTTGTAAAAATAATCATAATCAAAATAATTTGGCGAGTTTCTGAAAAATTGGGATACCTGTTTAGACTATGTAGCTCTGAAACATGAAAAACAGCATTCATTACAGCAGCAGTGAAGGGATGCAGTGTTCCTAGCAGGAGTCTTTTAATAGAAGGTTTTGGTTTTATTAGTGGTAGTGATGGTGGTTGGTTGGTTCGCTGGTTTTGTTTTTGTTTTGGTGTTTTTTGTTTGTTTGTTTGTTTGTTTGTTTTTAAGACAAAGTCCTTCTGTGTGTCCCTAGCTGTCCTAGAACTTGCTCTGTAAGTAAGGCTGGCTTCAAACACATAGATCTTCTTCCTTCTGCCTCATGAGTCCTGGGATTAAAGATGTGAGCCACCACTCTGGGCCTAACTTAAGGTTTTTAAAAATGCTTTTAAATTTTGTTTAATGTTTTATACAGATCATCCCTTTCTTTGAAGCCAGAGGATGAGAGCTACCACATATGTGAAGGAATTGACTTTGAAGAAATCATAAAATATGATGGACAGCTTCTAAAGAAGAAATGTAGACCTGTAAACCCTTCTAAGAAATCGTTTATTATTAATATTGTCCCAGAAAAAGATAATTTGACTTCATTGTCAGTGTATTCAGAAGATGGCTGGGACTTACCATATGTAATGCACTTGTGGCCACCTGTCCTTATTCGGAATCTTCTTCCATACAAAATCGTTTATTACATAGAGGTACTTGACAGTTTCTCGGTATTGTCTTGTTGCTGACTTTGTCCCTTGATTCATTTAAAGTTATAAACAAAATATTTTAAAGCTGTAACAGAGGTTATAGCATTACTTAAAATATTTATCAGCTGAAAGTTTAAATACTATCTTTAAAAATATAATTTAGGGCCTTCAAGCCTCATAACCTGAGTTGAATCTCTGCTATCTTAAGTTGTCCTCTGACCTCCACAACAGGGTACTGCAAGTGCACACACATGGGTCAGCTTTTCCTCACACCCACGAAAGTTTCGAAAAAAAGATACTTAAGAAAATAGTTTTCATTAATTTATCTTAGAAATGTACTAAGCTGTATATAATATGATACACAACTTATATAACAATATGTAGGCCTGTATAATAAATGGCATATAATCACCATCTGAAGATACCATTTATTTTATAAGATTTATTTTTCAATCCTTTCCCTTTATAATGTATGTTTAAGTAATGGATAATGAATTATGAAACAAGCATGGCTATTGGTATTGAAGTGACATTTAAGTTCAGTACTTACACAATTAAATTACTGTTTTTAAAAGTATTTATTATGAGTGCTCTGTCTTTACACACACACCTGAAGAGGGCAGCAGATCAAGTTATAGATGTGAGCCCACCGTGTGGTTGCTGGGAATTGAACTCAGGACCTTCTGGAAAAGCAGTCAGTGCTCTTTTTATTAATTACAGTTTATTTACTTTGTAAAAAACAAAACAAAACAAACCTGCATTTAGGACTGTGTGTGTGCTTAAGTGTCTTGTGTGTATTGATTTATTTAGTCTGTGTAACAGCTGAGCATTTAGATTGACACTGTGGTAAATAGCATGGTTTGTTTTATGTATCAAGGGTGTACTGTATCTCTCAATATGTTCTAACTGCTCCAGTTCTTAATTGATTGTATCAAAAAACTTGTTTGCAATGTAGCTGTCCTTTAAAATAATTTAGATTTACTATTAAATCTGTACATTATTATGAACAAACAAACAAAAAGAACTCTATTTTAGATTAAGTAGGGGGTTTCTCTTGGATATTTTTGAAATATTCTTCAGTGTTGATCAAATATAATAAAGCAGTTCTTAACTGTAGTCTGTTCATTGTAGGCTTATTGAACTTTTTGAGTTATAACATGTATACAGTTTTGAGATGCATTTTTAAGTAGTAATTTTTTGTGGTTTCGTTTTTCATATGATGGATTACCATAATGATATTTAGTTGGTAGGTAGCCATCATGACTTGGAGTTGTATCCTAGCTCTGCCACGTACTACCTTATGTTTTTAGGTATATTATACTTTTTTTGTATTTTATTAAATGGAAAAACTTTTGATATAACTATTTTGGTTAGGTCACGGGAAAAATCAAATTAGTTAAGTGCCTAAAGTATTTACCACCATGCTCACAGGTAGATTTGTTACAGGTAATAAATAGTTGCCCTTTATTAGCCATTTTAGCACATAAACACTACCATCATTGTTTTGTGAAATGGTCTGTTCAATGTAAAACTTCACCAACAAGTTATTTAAAACTTAAATTTTGTTACAATTTTTGGAAAGCTGGGGAAAAGACACTAGAAAGATCATAGAAATAAAACTAAAGTAATGAAGTTGTGAGTGTAGAAAAATTAATGACTTGAGACATAGTAAACAACATGAACTGATAATGAAGGGATTGATTTAAAAAAAAATGGCACGTAGTGTGTGTTGTTTTTTAGATTATAACAGGTTTCTTGAAGATTTTGTTTGTAGTTTTCAAAACTTCAATAACTAGTAGATAAGTTAGGGTTTGCTTTATCTTTACTGATTACAGTATTATAGTTACAAGCAGCTGTGAGGTTCTGCACATCATTTCAGCTTAGCCTTTCGTAGTAGTTTATCTAGAACGTTTTATAAGTACAAATACCCAAATGTAGCTGAAACGCTGGGGCAGAGTTACAGCTTGAAGAGTGCTGATGACTTGTTCTGACAGTTACTTGGAAAGAGTTTTGTGGAATATTTGGAAAGAGTAAGTGCATTTGGGTGTGTGCTTTTCAGAAGCATGTTTAAATTTGTTTTTTTATTCCAGGACACTGAAAACACTGTTTTTACTCTAAATGAAGGACATTCATCACAGATTTATAATGTACAAATGGACAAAGCCAAGCTTCACTTAAAATTACTTGACTATCTTAATCATGATTGGAAAAGTGAATTTTATATAAAACCTAATCAACAAGACATCAATTTCATCAATTTTACCTGTCTCACAGAAATGGAAAAGACTGATTTGGATATTGCTATCCACATGACTTACAATACTGGTCAGACAATTGTGGCATTTCATAGTCCATATTGGATGGTCAATAAAACTGATCGGATGTTACAGTACAAAGCAGATGGAATCCACCGAAAGCATCCACCTAATTATAAAAAGCCAGTTCTCTTTTCCTTTCAGCCAAACCACTTCTTTAACAACAATAAGGTATGTGTTGCCTTTTTTCTAACTTTTGCTCTTTATGTAAACATTATATTTCAGTTTTTAGAACTTTGAAGAATAAAATTTGGAATTTAGGTAGAAATAACATTTGTTAAATATTTGAGGTTGAAAAGTTAGCATAGCGGGGTATAGTAGCATGGACTTGTAATTCCAGCATTTGGGACGCAGGAGGATGTTGATTTTGAGGCCTTTATATGTAAGTGATAAGTTACGTCCAACCTGAACTACACAAGAGACCCTATTTCAGAAATATCTAATCATAAACAGTACTGTAAGCATTTAATGTTAAGAATTATCCCCAATCAGTGGACTTGGAAAGGGGCAGGGAGGAGATGAGAGAGGGGGGGAGGGTATGAGAGGGAATGAGGGAGCAGATACAGCTGGGATACAGAGTTAATAAAATGTAACTAATAATAAAAAAATAAAATAAAATAAAAGAATTATCAGTATAAGATAGTTTTACCTAATATATGCAAGTCTTTGAGTTTGACCTTCCACACCACACACACATGCTCTCTAAATTGTAATTTATCTCAAATTCTTTCACTAGGTTCAGCTTATGGTAACTGATAGTGAGCTCTCTGATCAGTTTTCGATCGATACTGTTGGTAGTCATGGAGCCATTAAATGCAAAGGCCCAAAAATGGAATACCAAGTGAGTTTCTTCCATAGTAAAGAAACTTTCACGTATCTATTGGGTACTCAAATTTTGTAAGTATACAATGTAATAGTTTTCAAACAGTTTTAAATTTTTTCTTAGGTTGGTGTCACTATAAACCTCAGCAGTTTTAACATCACCAGAATTGTAACATTTACTCCTTTTTATATGATTAAAAACAAAAGCAAATACCACATATCAGTGGCAGAAGAAGGAAGTGATAAATGGCTTTCTCTTGACGTAGAACAGGTACGTAAATGAATTTCATAATGTACTTGGTACTCCTATGTTCATTGTACATGATAGACATGTATGAAAATACCATAGTGAAACCCCATTTTTAAAGTGAATATATGGTAATTAAAACATGCTTGTTTTATTTTTTATGTTACAGTTCTTAAATCATCACAGTTTTAATACTCCCATATCCTAATTTTCTTTCAGTTCCATGAAACTTTATTGACTATCCCAGGTTTTACTTATTATTAAAAATTGGGCCTGTGCTCCCTAGGATTGCAGAGCTTAATCGGGACGATAGACACTGCCAGTTCTAACAAGTTTGGTTAAATAACCACACTAGACATTTGTAAATAACAGCACTAGAAGTATAGATAAGATATCATTAAAGAATAGGAGATTATTAATTTCTTCATGAAGCTATTTTAATGCCTTTATATGCTAAGTTAAGTCAGATTTGCTTTTTGGAAGAAGGTAAAAGTCAATTAGAATGAATTTTGGATTTCGTATCAGACAACTGAATGTGTTTTCTAATTGATTGATAGTTTTGAAAAGCAATTATTCTAAAATGGTATATAAAAACAATCCTTGAGCATATTCTTGAAGTTTTAGCATTTCGAGTAGGGTTAATTTTGAGGTTAAATGACATCAGGTTTTTGGTTTTTTGTTTGTTTATTTGATTGTCCACATAAGTTTTAATCAACTTTTATGGCAGTTCTTCTTTTGTTTGGTTTTATGTCAAGTTGTGGTTGTTTTTTTCTTTTTCCTAATGTCTTATATTTTTCCCACCAATATCTTTGGTTTCCATTTTCTTGAAAATTCTGCTATGATTCTATTATTTCTATTCTTCTCTAATTTCATTATAGAGGTCTTTTTTTAACCCATGAATTTCATATTGCTGTGTTGGTATATGAGTTACTAATTATTTTTCTTGAAGTACTTATACATCTGTGGATTACTACTACTTTGTGTAAAACTTGAAACTAATATCTCTTTAAATATTAATTCTGCTTCATTCTAAGTGTACTAAGTTAAGCTTTTATATTGCCTAAAGTCTTTCCCTGAAAACAACATAAGTTTGGGGCCATGAGGTAGACTTCTCAGCAATATGGATGTCTAGGGAGTGAGCCTGAGAAACAAAGCTAAACAAGGACAGGACTCTAATGGAGGCGAGGTTTTAACATGTTTAGAAGGTAGTAAAAAAGGCCAATATTTTTGGAGAGTAGAAGCCAAAGCCATAGTGGGAGTAAAGGGTAATTATGGCGATTTTTGTAACTGTCACAAATTTTACCTTAAAATTAAATGGGGCCTGGTTAAAAAGGTTTGATCAATGAATAAACATGGTAGACTCTTCTGGCAGTATCCATAAAATGGATAGCCAGGAAAAAAAAAATCAATCAAAATATAAAAATTTAGAACCATATTAGTGATTGACACCTTTAATCCCAATGCCTGGGAGGCAGAGGCAGATCTTTGTGAGTAGTAGCCATGCTGGTCTGCATAATGAATTTAGGACAGCCAGAGCTAAATAGGGAGATCCTGCCTGAAAAAAAAAAAAAAAGATTTTGATCAGTGATTAAACATGGTAGATTCTCTATGTTTGTTGACTTAACATGATTTGTGTAAGTGTTCAACAAGTCCTCAGTAAGTCTATTCCTAGTTTTTGAAATGGAATTCTAGGCATATCTAGATGGTGGTAACTATAGCTTTCTTTTGCCTTTTTATACTTTGTAGACATATCTTTTCTATATTTTCTTTTATAACATTTTTTATCTTCCATATTTTATCACTCACAGATACTGTTGGGTCCTGATTATCTTTTGAAAACTAATAACTGTAGAGTTTTTCAGTTTTTATTTTTTTCATTCTCAGTTTCATCTAAGATAAACTTTCTTTTGCTAGATTAAAATTTTGCATTCTTATTTGACTTTTAATGATTACTTTAAGATTTAGCTCAAGATATATGATTGCTTTAAGATTTATGCTCTTGTTAAGCTTAGTCTCTGTTTTCTAACTACAAAAGTTAAAAAGAAGCTTGGCAAATTCTCCCGTCTAAAGAGGTCCCATATATAACCCTTATTAAACATTAAAACACAGTATGAAACTCAGGCTCCAAAGGAACATCAGGGTGTTTAGAATGCACATCATTTTCAAGTTACTTAATTCCTATTGTAATAGGCGTCTATGAGTATTGCTGCTGTTTTGAGATTTGCAGTTTCAGAAGTGATGACAGCAGTGTGGGCAGAAGTGTTTAAAGTTTACTTGCTACTCTCTAAGGCTATTAAATGACGTAAGTATTATGATGAGATCTGTTTAAATATGTATAATACATTTTTAGTGTATCCCCTTTTGGCCTGAGGATGTCTCCAGTATTCTTCTTATTCAAGTTGAACAGAATGAAGGTTCTCCTAAAAGGATACATTTTAACAAGCAAGATGGTTGTATTTTATTACGACTGAATAATGAGGTCAGTGTTTTTTTTTTCTTGATGTCCATGATCATTATCTTTTGTATAACATTGGAAAAACTAATATACATATTATTGTATACATATTAGTGCTACACTTCGCTTTTTGTAACAAATTTTCTGGTGATTTTTCTCCTTTACTGAAAATTAAACCTCATTTCTTTTTATGAAAGGTGAAACACATTTAAATATTTTAAATTTATTTATTTTTTATTAATTAGTTTATTTACTTTGTATTCCAGCTGTAGCCACCTCCCTTGTTCCCTCCCAATCCCACCCTTTCTCCTTTTTCTCTCTCTATGCCCCTCCCCAAGTCCACTGATAGGGGAGGACCCTTCTCTCCTTCCCTCTGACCCTAGCCTATAAGATCTCATTAGGACTGGCTGATTTAGAATTTGTTATATAGAAAGTTAGTGGGCATGCTTAGAATAAACACTGGAAATACTCAAATTTCAGTTGTATATAATAGACTTTTATGATTAACCATAAATGATAAAATCTGGGTTGTCTTCTAATTCTTCACAGAAAATAAATCATCAAGTTATTGATAGTTTTATTAAATGCTATCAATTAATATTCTTAACAACATGATAACATAATTTTTTTTCCTTTAAGCTTGGAGGTATTATTGCAGAAGTTAATTTGGCTGAGCATTCTACAGTTATTACATTTTCAGACTACCATGATGGAGCAGCTACATTCCTATTAATAAATCATACCAAGAGTGACCTTGTTCAGTACAAGCAAAGGTAAGATTATCACAACACAGCAATTTATGATTAGCAGATTTAGGTGAGGAAACCTAAATCTCTTCTCATGATTCCTTAAAAAATTGCATTAATGCTATTGTGTTTATGTTAAAATGATTCCTTTAAAAAAAAAAAACTTTTATTCAATTATATCAAGTAGAACTGACTTGGTATTTATAATTATTTTTAAATGAGTCGAAGGCACATGAAAGAACTAAAGCCCTTGACACTGGTACTGGTCATTGTGAAATCTTGTGAAGAATTTATCAAAATCAGTCTGTGCCCCCCCCCCTTTTTGTTTTTTCTTCTTATTTTGGTGGGTGATGTTTGAGATAGGTTCTCACTATGTAGTGCTGGGTGACTTGGAACTCAGTTTGGAGTCTACGCTGTCCTCAAGCTCAGGAGAGTTCACCAGCCTTAAGCCTCCTAAGTAGCTGGATCATGTGTGTGAACCACCATACTCAGCTAAGTTTCTCTCCTCTTCTCTGTGTGTGTGTGTGAGAGAGAGAGAGAGAGAGAAGAGGAAGGGAAAGGAAGAGAGAGGGGGAGAGGGAGAGAGACTCCCATGAGTGTGGGTGCACACACTGTGAGTATAGGCCCAAAGTGGTTGTTTGGTGGCTTAGACACTCTTCATTTTAATTATTTTTATATTAACTACAGTTTGTTCACTTTGTATCCCAGCTGTAGCTCCTCCCTCCTCCCCCTCCCAATCCCGCCCTCCCTTCCTCATCTCCTCCCATGCCCCTCTCCAAGTCCACTGATAGGGGAGGTCCTCCTCCCCTTCCCTGTGACCCTAGCCTATCAGGTCTCATTAGGACTGGCTGCATTGTCCTCCTCTGTGGCCTGGTAAGGCTGCACCCTCCCCCCCCCCCTTAGGGGGAGGTGATCAAAGAGCCAGCCACTAGTTCATGTCAGAAATAGCCCCTGTATCCCTTACTAGGGAACTCACTTGGATACTGAGCTGCCATGGGCTATATCTGAGCAGGGGTTCTAGGTTTTCTCCATGCATAGTCCTTGGTTGGAGCATCGGACCCAGAAAAGACCCCTGTGTCCAGGTTTCTTGTTTCTGTTGTTCTACTCTTGGAGCTCTTGTCCCCTCCAAGTCTTTCTATGTCCCCCTTTTTTCATAAGATTCCCTGCACTCTGCCAAAGGTTTGGCTATGAGCCTCAGCATCTGCTTTAATACTCTGCTGGGTAGATACTTTCAGAGGCCCTCTGTGGTAGGCTCCTATCCTGTTTCCTGTTTTCTCCCTTTTCGGATATCTTTCCCATTTGCCTTTCTGAACGAGGATTGAGCATCTTACCCAGGGTCCTCCTTGATTAGCTTCTGTATGTGTACAGATTTTAATATGTTTATCCTATATTATATGTCTAATATCCACTTATAAGTGAGTATATACCACGTGTGTCTTTCTGTTTCTGGGATACCTCACTCTTTAAGTGCTTCTCTGCTATTCTGTATTCCTCTATTGAGAGTTCTCTGTTTAATTCTGTTCCCCATTTTTAATTGGATTACTTAATTTTTTGCTTTTTAACTTCTTGAGTTCTTTATATATACTGGATATTAGCCCTCTGTCAGATACAGGGTTGGTGAAGATCCTTTCCCAATCTGTAGGTAGTTGTTTTGTTCTGAGAACAGTGTCCTTTGCTTTACAGAAGCTTTTCAGTTTCATGAGGTCCCATTTATTGATTGTTGCTCTTAGAGCCTGTGCTGTTGTTCTGTTCAGGAAGTTGTCTCCTGTGCCAATGAGTTCCAGGCTCTTCCCCACTTTTTCTTCTAAGAGGTTTAGTGTATCTGGTTTTATATTGAGGGTTAGAACTTTTACAAATCTCAATTAATGGGATAAAACGGAAATAATATTTAGGATTTTAATGTACTTGTCAATTGCATTTAATTTAATACATATTTTTACTATTTAATGTCAGTTCTCTCAGTGAAATAGAAGATTCCCTCCCTCCTGGAAAAGCAGTATATTATACATGGGCTGATCCAGTGGGCTCTCGAAAGCTGAAGTGGAGTTGTGGGCAAAGCCATGGTGAAGTAACACATAAGGATGTAAGTACTGAGCTCCTCATTATGGAGTTCTCAGCTGCCTCTCTGTTTTTGGATTCAGCAAAGATTTTAAAAAGCAGTATTGCAATTGTTTTTAAATTTTGCCTTTTACTTAATTTATTTAATTTTTATGTATTTAATTTGCTTTTTTTCAAATTCCTCCCAGAAGGCCAGTAAGTGCCTGCGGTTTGCTCTAATGGGTGTGCAAAGGCATATAGAAAAAGCAGCAGACTGCAGTGTTTGTGCCCATTGTGCACCATTGATCCAAAGGTGCCAGGAACTGCCAAGCCTGGCTGTCTAGAGAAGCATGGTGCACTTGAAGAAGTCCTTGAGCAGTCTTTTCTTAGGTATCTATGGCCTGTACTGACAGTCACCTTAGCTAGATTTCAGCTCTGTAAGGTACCTAAACAAAAGAGAATGTATTTCTCAGTGGCAAGCTGTAAAAACAAATACTGGTTATTTTAGGGCTTGAAACCACAAATTTTATAGCTCTTAGCTACTCGCCTTCTTCCAGGCCTCTATAAGCATTTTTATTTTGCATACATTTCTTTAATAAAAAGTATTTTCACCAAATAAGAAATTCTGTGTTTAGAGATTCTTATCTTTGCATACTATATTTTATGTGTTGGTGTTTGTGCCTGAGTACAGGTTCCCATAGACATCAGAAGTGGGTGTCAGAGCCTCTGCACCACATACATATGGTGGTTGTGAGCAGTCTGATGAAGATGCTAGGAAGTTAATCTGAGTCCTCTGCCAAACTGTCATGTGCTTTTAACCGCTAGCCATTTCTCTAGACCTCCTGTATTGGAGTTTTTTTCATTGTCTCTCAGTGTGGGCATTAATTGATTTGATTTTGCTTTAAAGCAGATTTCATATAATTAGTCTAATGCTTGAGACTCATAGCTAAAATTTGGGCAGAGTGCAGGAAATATTATGGAAGAAGGGAGAGATAGAAAGACATGGAGGGGACAGCAGTCCGTAAGGCGAGCAACAGAGCCAAAATAATACCTAAATAATAATTTTATAGTAACTTCAAACTTTAATTTCTGTGTATTGCAAAATAAATGTAAAATAAATATTAAACATTTTATTAATCAGAGTATACTAGAATTTATGGTTAACTGTTATTTAATTTGTTATATTTGTTTTATCATTGAATCTAAAGACAATATCAGTACAGTGTTTATTCATTTATTTTTTACTTTTTTCTATATATTATTATTATATTATGTGTGTGGATTTGTGTGTATGGGCATATACATGTGAGTATAAATGTACCATAGGCCATCTTGTAGAGGTCAGAGGACAGCTTGTGTGAATCAGTTCTCTCCTACCATGTAGGTCACTGGGCTTGGCTGCATATATTGTTACCTTTTGATCCATCTCACGGGCTCCCAACACAGTATTTATAAAGGAGTTTCCTAAGTGATTAGCCTTGTGGAAACACCTGTACTTTATCTTTGTTGTTGTCACAGGTAACTTTTATTGTCTTGTTTTTAAACTAGGGCTCCCACTACAGCCCTCGTTAGCTTGAGCTTGGCAGTCCTTTTCCCTCAGCCTCCCAAGTCCTGCGACTGTAGATGCGCGTTATTGCGCCCAGCTGAACGCATGCTTTATAAGGCTTGTGGCTGAGATAGATACTTTCTTACTCTGCTGTGTAAGGAAATGTGAATTTGAGGCTTTAACAACCTTTAATATACCTGAGTTAAAGTGAAGTAGAAAAAAAATTTGTTATTTATTCGGCCTATAAGACTTTAAATTAGATTTTTATTATGATTTAAGTATTAAAACAACTGATTTGACTTTATTAATAACAACATCAGTATAATGTAGCCACTGACATCAGGTTATTTTAGTGAGGAAGTCTTCCAGGTACTATACAAATATTCATTCTGTTGACTGTCATGAATTATCTGAAGTAGCTCATGTAAGTGATAACTGTCTCCAAGTGATATGTTTGTGTTTATTTGGTTTACCCTCAGCCTTAGGGAGTAAGGCTGTTTGTATTCTCATCATATAAACATCAAGTGTAGCCTTCATGTTTGTTGGGTACAAACTCTGATTCCCTTTTTTGGTTGTTTTCTTTTAGGATATGATGACACCCATAAGTGTGGGGAAAGAAACCATTTATTTAGTGTCATTCTTTGAAGGCTTGCAGCGTATTATTTTATTCACTGAAGATCCAAGAGTGTTTAAAGCAACATATGAAAGTGAAAAGGCAGAGTTAGCAGAACAAGAAATTGTATTGGCATTACAAGATGTTGGGATTTCACTTGTCAATAATTATACAAAGCAAGAAGTAGCCTATATAGGCATTACAAGGTTAGATGCATTAATATTAGGAATAATATTTGAAAACTAAAACTCAAGAGTCTTTATAAAGGGCTTTACCTCGTTAGGCCTCTCACTGGCCTCTGTTTTCTCTATTCCTAGTGTGTCCTTACCATGTTAGTCGCTTTATTCTTCACACAGTTATCTGCTCTATGGTATCTGTTAAAGCTGGTCATGTATCTGAAATGTTTTTACCCTCGTTTCCCCCCTTAAGGTTGCAGAAATTTCTCTTTCTCAATTGGGCCTTCCCTAGTGACCATTCCATTTTAATACGGTGATTTCTCCCATTTCTCATAGCTGAGACTGCATATCCATCTTAGACTGTCTACATTTTATTTTTTTCAGAAGCATATCCCCCTCCCAGATACTCAAATTTATTTTTTCATGTTTACTGATTTGTATCTGTAACTCCCTAGCTAAAATGAAGAATGACAGGCATACTCAGGGGTATTTTCCTTGTACTGACTGAATAAAGTTAGAACAAGTAGTCGCTGAATGAGTTCATGTTTTAAGTTGGAACTGCGCTTGTTTATAACTGATGCTGTGGTAAAACTTTAGCGGGGGTTCTTTAATACACTAGTTTAACGGTTATCAATTAATGCTGTGACTTCTGATTTCAAATATAAGTTCTGATGTGGTTTGGGAGACAAAACCGAAGAAAAAGGCCAGATGGAAGCCCATGAGTATAAAACACACTGAGAAGTTGGAGAAGGAATTTAAGGAATACACAGAGTCTTCCCCTTCCGAAGACAAGGTGATTGAGTTGGACAATAACATTCCAGTAAGTTTTTAAAGTTCTGATGCGAACTTTTAATTTTACATTGTAGTTTGAATTAATTCTGAATTTTAAAGAAAAATTGACTTTTTATAAAATATAGTGAATGGAATTAACACTAATGTACAGACTTCACATTAGCTGCTTAAAAGAGTGACTATATTAAGAAATTGAACATTCTTAAGATACCAGTTACTAATTATTCTCTAAAGTAATACAAAACAAGATTTTTCTTATTTTAAGATTTTTTCTTTTATTGCATTATTTTATTAAAACCTGTTTTAGTAATTAAATACAAAAAGTGATATAGCTAAGCTAGAAACCTTATATGAATATTTATACTAATTTTATGGATATGAACATAAAGGTTTGAATCTTAATCCTACATTTCAGAAACTTTTTGTTTGGGGTTTGGTTTGCTTTGGTTGGTTGCCCTAGCAGGCCTGGAACTCACCATGTAGACCAAGCTGTCTTAGAGAATGGCAGTCCTCTGCCTCTGCTTCTAGAGTGCTAAGATTACAGATATATGCTAGCATGTTCAGCTTTAATATTTTTAAGTTAGCATAAAAGTAATGGGTTTCATGAATACATATCATTATACCCTCTTCTGTAGACTTTAATTTTTAAATTAGTATATCTTAAAATTATTTTCATAGAAATGTATAATTTTGATAAATGGTCAAAAAATCTCATTGTGGAGGGTCAATTTTTTTCAGGTTTGCTTCACACCTAGTGGGAATGACATGAAAATCCTGCAGCCACATGTGATAGCTGTACGGAGAAATTACCTCCCAGCACTAAAAGTAGAATATAACACATCTGCACACCAGTCATCACTCAGAATTCAGATTTATAGAATACAGGTGAGTCTGGAAATGAAGGCAAAACAAAAACCCAAGACATTCCCCCGATCTGTTTTATGTAGTACAAATCCAAAGAAGAAGGCAAGAGGGAAGCCAGTGAATAGAAACAAACTGGAAAAGAAGCCAGGATTACACATGCCTGTAATCTCAGTACTTGAGAAGCTGAGGCAGGAAGATGACCATGAGTTCAAGGCCAGCCTTGGCTATGGAATGAGCCTCTGTCTAAGAAAGAAAGAAGGCTTGGAGCAAGGAGAGGTAGTTTGAGAGAAAGAGAGATAGAAAGAGAAAAAGAAAGAAAGCAAAGATAAAGAGGAAGGTGAAAGAAGGGAGGAACTGAAGTTGGAGACATGAAGGGAAATACTGAGTCTTCACTTTGTACTCAGTTGTGTGTTGACTATTCTGTGTCTCTCTTGTGTCTCTCTTAAGTTCTGTTATTCTAGTCAGGTTTTGTATATGACATGCTATATACTGATTCATGTTTTATTTTCTTAGATCCAAAACCAGATTCATGGTGCTATTTTTCCTTTCGTGTTTTATCCTATTAAACCTCCAAAGTCTGTCACCATGGATTCAGGTTTGTGTTTACTTTCAGATTGTGTTATAAACAGTTGTGTGGCTAGTTGTTTACTAGGCTACAAAAACAGTCTCAAGTTTAGTTTTTCTAGATCATTAGTTAATAAAAGTTCTTAATGAAGGACTAGGAGTTATTCAAGAGAATGTCATGTGAATGTTGAAGGAAAGGTTATTTAGAACTGTTTTAGAAATAGGAATTTTAAACCATATGACTGATATGTAAGCTAATTAACAACCTGTAATATTTAAGAATATTAGGAACTGAATAAAAAGTGAGAAAATTTAGATTTAGTGTTGTTTTTTAAAGATTTGTTATTTACTTTACGTGTATACCTAAGAGTGTATGTGAACATCATGTTCAGGCCTGGTGCCTGAGGAGGCCAGAGGAGGGCAGCAGGTTCCCTGGAACTGGAGTTACAGGTGGTTGGAACTGCCATTGTGGGTGCAGGGAAGAGCAGCAAGCACTTAACATCTTAGCCATTTCCAGCCCCAAGATTTCAGTATTTTCTGAATGGTCCTGAGTTTTCCAAATGAGAATAACTGACATTCTGTCTTCAGCCGTTCTCCTCTTTTGTGTTTCTTCTTCTCTCTTCCTTGTTCATTTCTCTTCACCATAGTTTCTCTTTGCTCCCTACCATCTTTACACTCTACCTCTCTGTGCTTCCTTTCTGTGTTCCCACTGCAGAAGCCAGATTATGGACAACACTTTCTAGTGGGTTTTCTTCATAATTTTCTCGCAAGGCTTTTTAACCACCTTACAAGCATTTGCTTATCCCATTAGAAACATGAACCATAAGACTATGTTTTCACAATTTTCTAGTGATTCTAATCCATATTTCTAATATAAAGTCATTAACTTTTCTAATAATCCTTAAAATGAATGCAGATAACTAAAAAGGTAGGTAGTTCTGGGGTCTGAAATTAAGACTAAATAAATTTGGAGGTATCACTAATTTTAGTTGATACTGCTGATTTACTACATGATTAATTTCAATTGACATGTTTATTAAATTAAAAGAAAATGCCCATCCTTCCACTTGAAATGTGAAGATAATCATACTTTTAAACTTCACAGAACCAAAGCCCTTTACAGATGTCAGTATTGTCATGAGATCTGCAGGACATTCCCAAATATCACGCATTAAGTAAGTGTCTTTATATATTTCTTGTATGTTTTTCTTTTTTTAAATTTTTTATTAATTACACATTTTTCCCTTTGTATCCCCCCATAAACTCCTCCCTCTTCCCCTCCCAATCCCACATTCCCTCCCGCTTCTCATCACATGCCTCTCCCCAAGTCCAGTGATAGGAGAGGTCTTCTTCTCCTTCCTTCTGATCTTAGTCTATCAGATCTCATCAGGAATGGCTGCATTTTCTTTCTCTGTGGCCTGGTAAGGCTGCTCCCCCCTCAGGGGAGGTGAGCAAACAGCAGACCAATCAGTTCATGTCAGAGACAGTCCCTGTTCCCATTACTATGGAACCCACTTGGACACTGAACTGCCATGGGCTACATCTGTGCAGGGGTTCTAGGTTATCTACATGCACGGTACTTGGTTGGAGTATGAGTCTCAGGAAAGACCCGTGTTCAGAATTTTTGGTTCTGTTGCTCTCCTTGTGGAGCTCCTGTCCTCTCCAGATCTTACTATTTCCCCCTTCTTTCATAAGATTCCCTGCACTCTGCCCTACTCTGCAGGGCAGAGCCTTTCAGAGACCCTCTGTGGCATGCTCCTAACTTGTTTTCTTCTTCTGTTGTCCATCCTCTTTGCCTTTTGGGATGGGGATTGAGCATTTTAGCCAGAGTACTCCCTCTTGATTAGTTTCTTTAGGTGTACAAATTTTAGTAGGTTTATCCTATATTATATGTTTATATGAGTGAGTAAATACTGAGTGTGTCTTTCTGCTTCTTGGATACCTCACTCAGGATGATATTTTCCAGTTCCCACCATTTACCTGCAAATTTCATGATTTCCTTGTTTTTTATTGCTGAGTAATATTCCATTGTGTAAATGTACTACAATTTCTGTATTCATTCCTCAGCTGAGGGCCATCTGGGTTGTTTCCAGCTTCTGGCTATTACAAATCTGCTATAAAAATGGTTGAGCAAATATCCTTATTGTGTACTTGAGCCTCTTTTGGATATATACGTAGGAGTGGCATAGCTGGATTTTGAGGAAGCACTATTCCTAGTTGTCTGAGAAAGCACCAGATTGATTTCCAGAGTGGTTTTACAAGTTTACATTCCCACAAGCAGTGGAGGACGTTCCTCTTTCTCCACAACCTCTTCAGCACGTGTTGTCACTTGAGTTTTTGATCTTAGGCCATTCTGATGGGTGTAAGGTGAAATCTCAGAGTCATTTTGATTGATATTTCCCTGATGACTAAGGACGATGAGCATTTCTTTGTTTCTCTGCCATTCGATACTCTTCTATCGAGAATTCTTTGTTTAGCTCTGTACCCCGTTTTTTAATTGGATTACTTGATTTGTTGCTTTTTAACGTCTTTAGTTCTTTATATATATTGGATATTAGCCCTCTGTCAGATAAAGGGTTGGTGAAGATTCTTTCCCAATCTGTAGGCAGTCGCTTTGTTTTGATGACAGTGTCCTTTGCTTTACAGAAGCTTTTCAGTTTCATGAGATCCCATTTGTTGATTGATGATCTTACAGCCTGTGCTGTTGGTGTTCTGTTTAGGAAGTTGTCTCCTGTACCAATGAGTTCAAGGCTTTTCCCCACTTTTTCTTCTAACCTATTTAATGTGTCCGGTTTTATGTTGAGGTCTTTGATCCACTTGGACTTTAGTTTTGTGCAGGGTGTTAAGAATGGATCTATTTGCATTTTTCTACATGTAGACATCCAGTTGGACCAGCACCATTTGTTGAAGATGCTATCTTTTTTCCATTGTATGATTTTGGCATCTTTGTCAAAAATCAGGTGTCCATAAGTGTGTGGGTTTATTTCTGGGTCTTCTATTTGGTTCCATTGATCCACCGTTCTGTTTCTATGCCAGTACCATGCAGTTTTTATAACTGTTGCTCTATAGTACAGCTTAAGATCCGGGATGGAGATACCTCCAGAAGATCTTTTTTTATCGTAGAGGATTGTTTGGCGATTCTGGGTTTCTTGTTGTTCCATATGAAGTTGAGAATTTTTCTTTCCAGGTTTGTAAAGAATTGTGTTGGTAATTTGATAGGAATTGCTTTGAATCTGTAGATTGCTTTTGGTAAGATGGCCATTTTTACTATGTTAATTCTGCCAAGCCATGAGCATGGGAGATCTTTCCATCTTCTCATATCTTCTTCTAATTCTTTCTTCAGAGACTTGAAATTTTTTTCATACAAGTCTTTGACTTGCTTGGTTAGGGTCACACCAAGGGACTTTATGTCTTTTGTGGCTATTATGAAGGGTGTTGTTTCCCTAATTTCTTTCTCAGCCCTTTTGTCTTTTGTGTACAGGAGGGCTAGTGATTTTTTTTTTTTTTTTTTTGGTTAATTTTGCATCCGGCCACTTTGCTGAAGGTGTTTATCAGCTGTAGGAGTTGTGTGTTTATTTATTTATTTTTGTCTGAACATTTTAATATTTGGGTTTTTTTAACTAAATTTTATGTAAGTTAAATATTTAAGTGTTAGATAATAAATTTCAAAGACAAAATGAAGTCTGTTAAGTATTTGATAATTTTACAAAGTGAAAAGATTCTGGATATAATATACCTAAAGGTTAACAGTAGTTTCTAAATCTCAGGTACTTTATTATTTTCTTTTTATATATATTTCTTTTCTGTTTTAAGTTATTTATAATGACCATATATTGCTTTAGGAATAGTGACAAAAGTAAGATTTCCATCTTTACTCACAACTCAGTCATTCTAAGAAGCAGATTATGGACCACGGCATTGTTCTAAGCGTTAGTCCCTGTTTTTTTTTTTTTTTTCTTCTAATCTCTGAGATGAACAGTATTTGTTACCTTGCTTTAAAAAATGCAGTATTACGGAGCTGGTGAGATGTTTTATTGGATAAAGTCTCTTGCAGCACAAGCCTAGTAAGACCTGAGCTTGATTCCTTCAGCCTACATGAAGGTGGAAGGAGAGAGCTGCCTCCACACCATACTGTGACTCACATGACCCACACACATGCGCAGGGATCAATGAAAAAAAAAATATAAATAAATAATATGTTGTTATTTTGTGTGTTTACTTAAACCTTTTCTTTTCATTCTCTAATTTTTTTCTTTTATTTTTATTTTCTGTGTATTTTATTTTCTGTATGAGTGCCTTGCCTGTGTACCATTATACATGCCAGGTTCGTGGTGAGGCCAGAAGAGGGCATGGGATTTCCTGTGGCTGGAGTTACAGACAATTATGAGCCCTCATGTGGTCAGGGGGACTCAAATCCGAGTCCTCTGGAAGAGCAGCCAGTGAATTCTCTTAACCACTGAGCCATCTCTCTAGCTAGGTGGATTAATGTCTAGTTTTCTCAAGATATTTTAAACTACAAAATACTTTTAGGACTTACTTTTTTAATGAAAACTTTTATTTAAATGTAATGATTTACCACTGTAGTTCTTGCTTGTTCATTTTTGTTGCTATGTAATGATTTGTTCTGTCACAAGTCAGTCTTTTTCCTATGGCCACTTTCATATTTTGAATTTCTTGCTGTTACAGTATAGCATCATTCATTGCATTCATCATTTAGTCCCAAGTTTCAAAGTTCTAATTGATGTCGTCTAATTTCCTTAATATATTTACTTGAAATTTTTAAATGTTCCCTATATCTTAATATAGATATTTCAAAGTGTTGATTCAAGAAATGGATCTCAGGTTGGATCTTGGATTTGTATATGCCCTAGCAGACCTTGTCACAAAAGCCGAGGTGACTGAGAAAACCGAGGTAAGACTTAGAGAGACAGCATTTGACAGGAAACATTATAAAAGGAGAAAGTCTGTGATACTCCAACCAAGGACCATTCATGGAGATAACCTAGAACTCCTGCTCAGATGTATCCCATGGCAGTTCAGTATCCAAGTGAGTTCCCTGGTAATGGGAACAAGGGCTGTCTCTGACATGAACTCAGTGGCTGGCTCTTTGATCACCTCCCCCTGAGGGAGGAGCAGCCTTGCCAGTCCACAGAGGAGGTCAATGCAGGCAGTCCTGATGAGATCAGATAAGCTAGGGCCAGATGGAAGGGGAGAAGGACTTCCCCTATCAGTGAACTTGGAGAGGGGCTTGGGAGGAGATCAGGGAGGGTAGGATTGGGAGGGGGTACAGCTGGGATACAAAGCAAATAAACTGTAATTAATACAAAAAATAAATTAAAAATTAATAAAATAAAATTAGATTAAAAAAAAAAAGAAATAGAGTCTAAAAAAAATATTACCAAACTTTGTGGATAAAGTTGTAGTCATTATCTCATCAAATTCAAGAATCGCATCACATCTTAAATGTCTTAATTTTGTTTAAGTGTAATGTGCTTTTTGCCTACAACATTTATATGTGCAAAGTCATAGTATGTGGTATTTGTTGAGCATTTATTTCATAATTATTTCTTCATGAGAATTTTATACATGCATACAATGAAATATTTGTATTCATGCTCATTTCCCCTCCTGATCCTCTTGTATCCCATCACTTAGCATGTTTTTAAGGTTTCTCTGTGTTGTAACATGTATCATCAAGTCATTCCTTTTATGACCAAGTAATAAGTTCATTACAGGAGTTTTATACTGTACCTATCCATTTGTCACTTACTTGAAATCTGGATTTCTTTTGCATTTTGACAAGTATGTTGGTGTTCATTGTGTACATACTGATTATACAATATGAGAAAACTTGAGATATTTTGCATATGCATAATTTCTCTAACTTCAAGTACTTGAGACATTTTTTTCAGCTCATAGAAGTAACTTAGGTCTGTCCATATTTGGAAAAGAAGTGTTGGTAATTACCAAAAATAAAAACCACTACTACCTCATATGAAATTATTTAGTACCTTCTCCTTTTTACATTATATTACTGCTCTCTAAATTGTGGAAGGACAGGTACCAAAGTGCTACAAATTGTTTATAAAACTATGTTTAAAGAAGCAACTATTTACAAATTATGTTGCTGGAATGTATTAGTAGTGCTTTTTAAAAATAAGATCTATAGTCACATGAAAAAAGCTGGGCACCACTTAATAACATAAACGATATGTTTATTGTGTAGTTTGTAGCAGAATTTCTACGGTGACGATACACGTCACTTCTGAGGCAGTAAACATTAAGAATAATGCTGACTTTTGAGTTTTAGAAAGGGATTTTCTTCCATCTGTGAGGCATTGGTTTTAAATATTTTACATAAACAGGTCCTTTCAGTGTTTATTTCTTGTATAGGTTGAATATTTTTACAAGGATGTAGAAATATTTGAACAAGAATATGAAACCGTTTCATCAGTAGACCAATCACAAGTCAATCTCTTTGAATATTTTCATATATCTCCTATCAAGGTAAGGAGAATACACCATTTTGTTTTATAAACTACGTAATTACAAATTATTTTGAGATCTTTGAAAGAAATTAACACCTAAATTAATTTAGGTGCATACATATATATATACACATACATACATACAGTAAAACAAATGAGTGCATTTAAACTGGCTTTATTATCCTAACTTAATTCTGATAGTTTAATTTGTAAACTTTGGAGATATATAGTTATTTTTAACAGCTTCCAAATATAGGTTGTTACTGTTACTAACAAATATATTAAAGTGAACATTTTCCTCAGGTTCAGCACAATGCCAAGAGAATAGAGTTGGAGCTACACATGATAGTGTTTGTAAGCTCAGCATTCATGATGCTGAGCTTAAGGGACAAAGGGACTCAAAGTCCAAATAACCTGAGCTACATAGGCGGGTCCTGTCTCACAAAAAATAAAAAAGTAGTAGAATTTAATTCTGATGTTTAGTTCAACTAAAAGTATAACATCTTAAATTGCAAATTTTCAACAGCTATATTGGATTTTCACTTTCTTAAACTTTTTAGTTACTAAGTTTTGGCATAATTCACGTAACTTTGAGATCTTATTTACGGTTTAATGAACAAAATATGAAACTGTTTTGTAAAAGTTAATTTGCCACTCAGGGAAAGTGCTTTAATGTATTTCTTTATCTCTTCAGTTGCATTTGAGTGTTTCACTGAGCTCTGGTAGAGAAGAAGCTAAAGATTCAGGACACCGTGGAGGACTAATTCCCCTTCATTCTTTAAATCTTTTGCTGAAAAGTATTGGTGCCACCCTAACCGATGTTCAAGATGTTGTTTTTAAGTACGTTTAATACTTACATCTATAAACTGATGAGTGGTCCATCATGTTTATGTAAAATTTTTGTGACTGTGAAAGGTATATTGAAAATTATAGGTAAAATGTGGGTTCTGTCTTTAGGTGGGTTATAATCAGAATAACACTAAGTATTTTATCTGCCCTTAATGACTAAGTTATGAGTAATTTTTAAGTAATTTTCTTAAGAAAAAGAGATGTCGAATATCCAACTTTATGTACTTTAGAAACTCTGGCCTGATAACGATCCCTCAAAAGAAGGGGGTGCTTAAGAGGTGTGGATTTTGGCAGGTGGGGTTTTCAAGTCTGCAATAGTGTGTGACCAAACAGTACATTAAAAGGAGCCATTCAAATGAATATATTTAATTACAATAGGAGCATTGGTTTTTAGGCTAGGTGCATTGGAACACATATCTAGTCCCAGCACTCAAGAGGCTAAGGTAGAAAAATGACTTGAGTTCAGCAATTCAAGATGAACATGTATGACCTAGTGAGAGCTCATCTCACAAGCAGGCAAAAACCCAATTTGTACTTAAAACTAATGGAGTGTCTGCCTATTGATTCAAAATCTGAGTAGAGACTACTTTAAAAAAGAAAGTCTTTGTAGGTAATATGTTTTAGCATGCCTGCTTATTAAGAGCATGAGAATCAGAGGCAGCTCTGACTCTAATTAGGAAACAGTCAAAGTCAAGAACACAGCATCGAAATAAGGGAAACTCTATCTTCCTGTTCTCTTGGTCAGAAAAAAAGCACCCTCCAGTTAGAGCATCAGTTGTTGCCTCTGCTTTCATCCCAGAAGGAAGAGCTGCAGCCATATGAAGTCTGGCCATTCCCAGGCAGCCCTGCAGCATGTCAAACATGTTCTTTGGGCATCCCCCACCCCCACCCTTGGGAGTCTTTATAGGGCAAAGTTGGGAAATAGTTCCACTAGGCGATGACTGAGATCTTTGTCTTGGTCTTTGGTGATTTTCTTTAAAGGATAAGAGTTATAGACTTTATCAGGTTTTTAGAAAATGTCTTTGAGTAGAATATGCCAAGAATTACATGGAATGAATGTATTCAGACAGATCTGGAGAAGAAAATTCTAAAGAAAAGAAAACCAGTCATCAATAATTAAAAAATAATTTTCTCCCTCCATGCATGCATATCTATATATATGTAAATATGTTTTTTTTTCAGGCTTGCCTTTTTTGAACTCAACTACCAGTTCCAGACAACATCTGAACTGCAATCTGAAGTAATAAGACACTATTCCAAACAGGTCAGTGTGAGATTATGTTACAAAGGAATAGAGATGTAAACTAGTGAAACCTTATATCTGTCCATGCATGTATAATATAGATTTCTCTGGAAAGCAAATAGCAAGTTTCAAAAATTTAAGCTTGTGTTTTTCCCTTTTCAGATTTATTCATATGAACTTAAGCCAACCACCATTTCAACTTTTTGTTCTTGTTCTTAAAACAAAACAAAATTAAAAAACACTATTAGAGTTTTTTTCTGAATCAGTGTGATTAAAAATACATAAATTTTTATAACATATTAATTTATCATATTTCTTGAAACTGTCAGCCACTGATGAACACATTTTTACTGTGAGGTTGTTGAGTCAGCTACATACCTTGTCTCTGTTGATCTTTTCAAGTCTAGAAATATTTCTGTATCTCTGGATTTAGACTTGGGTTCTGGGTGGGCATCCCACTTTTGCCATGCATTTTGTGACACTGAAATCTGTAAGATTGTGATAGTAGTTAACTCAGAAGTCATGGAACACTGAAAACTTTTTCTATATTCTAGAGACTATAATCTAGATTTCATTTTATCTCTTCCAAGTTGCTTTTCAAAAATTAAGTAAGTATTAGTAGGCTTTTGGAAATGACCCCGTCACTGAAGTGCTGGCCTTGCAAGCGTGGTGACCTGATTTGAGCCCCAGAACCCATGTGAAAATGCTAAGTATGCTAGTACATACTAGCAGTCCCAGCACTGAGTGGTCAGAGGCAAGAACACTGGGGTTTGCATGCCATCATGCTAGGCTGATTAGACCAATAGTGTTCTTCAAGATGATACCTCAGGAGTTCAGCCTCAAGGCAGGCTGAAATCTGCCTTCCACAGTTACCCACACACAGTATGCACCTCCACACACATTACACAAATGAGCACTTTTAATAATTATATTTTTAAATGAAGAATTGTGATAAAGGGGCTGGAGAGTACCTGCTGCTCTTCCTAAGGACTGAAGCTTGGTTCTCAAGACCCAAATGGTGGCCCACAGCTTTTTTTCTTCTGTTCCAGAGAATCTGACACCTTCTTCTTGTCTCTGAAGACACTGCATACATATGACACACCAACATATATGGAGGCAATGCAACTGTGCTCATAAAATAAAATGAAAAACAAAAAGAATAGTGATAGGTTTGGGTCTTAAAATTTGTAGTAATGATGTTATCCTGAGTAAATTGGATGTGTATATTAAGTAATCTATAAGCATAGTATCTCATGATGTTGACTGATACTCATATTTCATTCTTAGGCTATTAAGCAAATGTATGTACTCATTCTTGGACTTGATGTTTTGGGAAATCCCTTTGGCTTAATTAGAGAATTTTCAGAAGGAGTAGAAGCATTCTTTTATGAGCCTTACCAGGTAAAATATTTACTTGTATTATGTAATGGATAATATAAAATAATGTTTTCTTAATGTATAATACATTCCTGTTGTTAACTTGACCTGTACATGTAAACAACTTTTAAATTAAATTTTTACTTTTTATATTAATTACAGTTTATTCACTTTGTATCCCAGCTGTAGCCTCCTCCCTCCTTCCCTCCCAATTCCACCCTCCCTCCCTCATTTCCTCCTATGGCCCTCGCCAAGTCCACAGATAGGGGAGGTCCTGTTCCACTTCCATCTGACCCTAGCTTATCTGGTCTCATCAGAACTGGCTGCATTGTCCTCCTCTGTGGCCTGGCAAGGCTGCTCCCCCATTAGGGGGAGGCAGTCAAAGAGCTAACCACATGAGTTCATGTCAGAGACAGTCGATGTTCTCCTTACTAGGGAACCCACTTGGATACTGAGCTGCCATGGGCTACATCTGAGCAGGGGTTCTAGGTGATCTCCATGAATGGTCCTTGGTTGTACTATCAGTCTCAGAAAAGACCCCTGGGCCCAGATTATTTTGTTCTGTTGCTCTCCTTGTGGAGCGCCTGTCCTCTCCAGGTCTTACTATCTCCCCCTTCTTTCATAAGATTCCTTGCACTCTGCCCAAAGTTTGGCTATGAGTCTTAGCATCTGCTTTGATACAATGCTGGGCAGAGTCTTTCAGAGGCCCTCTGTGGTAGGCTCCTGTCCTGTTTCCCGTTTTCTCCTTCTTCCAATGTCCGTCCTGTTTGCCTTTCTGAGTGAGAATTGATCATCTTACCCAGGGTCCTCCTTCTAGCTCAGCTTCTTTAGGTGTACATATTTTTGTAGGTTTATCCTATATTATATGTCTAATATCCATTTATAAGTGAGTATATACCGTATGTCTTTCTGTTTCTGGGATACCTCACTCAGGATGAGTACCCACCATTTCTAGTACCCACCATTTGCCTGCAAATTCCATGAATTCCTTGTTTTTCATTGCTGAGTAGTATTCTATTGTGTAAATGTAACATAATTTCTGTATCCATTCCTCAACTGAGGAGCATCTGGGTTGTTCCCAGGTTCTGGGTTGTTCCCAGGTACTGGCTATTACGAATAAAGCTGCTATGAACATGGTTGAACAAATATCCTTGTTGTATACTTGAACATCTTTTGGATATATGCCTAAGAGTGGAATAGCTGGGTCTTCAGGTAGCACTATTCCTAATTGCCTGAGAAAGCACCAGATTGATTTCCAAAGTGATTGTACATTCCCACCAGCAATGGAGGAGGGTTCCCCTTTCTCCACATCCTCTCCAGCATGTATTGTCACTTGAGGTTTTGATCTTAGCTATTCTAATGGGTGTAAAGTGAAATATCAGGGTCATTTTGATTTGCATCTCCCTGATGACTAAGGACATTGAGCAATTCTTTAAGTGTTTCTCTACCATTCTGTATTCCTGTGCAGGTAATTCTCTGTTTAGTTCTGTACCCATTTTTTAATTGGATTACTTGATTTGTTGCTTTTTATCTTCTTGAGTTCTTTATGTATTCTGAATATTAGCCCTCTGTCAGATATAGAGTTGGTTAAGAGTAAACAACTTTTAAGAGACTCAAAAATTACTCTGATCTTAGTAGAGGAATTTCTACTTCATCCTTCAAAATTTCAACCTAAGATTCTGTTAAGATCTTCCTAATTTAAGTGTTGGTGTGGAGTAAAAACAGTGAGCACATTTCAGGAAGTAGGAAAAGGAACCTCACTGAATATGGTAATTTTGTTTTGCACAGTAGTATGTAATCATAAAAACAACCAGACATCTGGCATCCTGCAAAGCAGTTTTAATAGGGATAGAAAAGAAGAATTCTACATCTCTTTATACTTTTCATAAACACATATGGAGTTTTTATACTTTACTTACGAAATGCATAACAAAAACAACATAGAATTATTTTTTGTTGTGTACATTGTGATTTAAAAATTAGAAGTGATAAGAGTTTTAAGTTATTAAGAACACTATAAATGTGCATACTTCTGTCATTACAGTTAGCAGTAAGGAGCAAAGTTCTGTTCTCCTTTCATCTCAGACAAGTTCTCTTTTACCCTTTACACTTTGAGTGTCATGAAATTACCCTGACAACTGAGTGTTTTTGTTGGCATCATTTCCATTATTCTTCCAGTTTTTGTCACTTTCCATGTATCAGTGAGTTCGTCCTTTTAATACCACTCTTTTTGTCCCCTTAGGGGGCTATCCAGGGTCCTGAAGAGTTTGTGGAGGGAATGGCACTAGGATTGAAAGCACTAGTTGGCGGAGCCGTTGGTAAGCAGTAGAAAGCTGAGCAGCACTGCCAGACAGCAATGACAGCTGAGCCTTTACTTAATATAATACTCTCTTTGTTAGGTGGACTAGCTGGTGCCGCCTCCAAAATCACCAGTGCTATGGCTAAAGGGGTAGCAGCCATGACAATGGATGAAGACTACCAGCAGAAGAGAAGAGAAGCAATGAATAAGCAACCAGCAGGTCTTCGAGAAGGCATCACTCGTGGAGGAAAAGGCCTTGTTTCTGTAAGAACTTTCATGGGGTTATGAACATGTAAAGGTTAGCTTTTAAATCAACATTTTATGAATAAAGAAACAGACATGTAAGTTTACTTACATTACTATTGAACATTGTAATGTGGCATATAAAATATTTCAGTGATCCCCACAAGCATTCTATTTAAATGAAACACTTAGGAAATAACTATGCTAATTATTGTGATCTATTAGAAGAACTCTACTTTTTTTTGGTTTGTTTGTTTGTTTATTGAAGCAAAATGGTCTCCTAAGTATCTTATGGAAATATAACTTTTCAATTGTGCTTTTCCTCCAGGGTTTTGTAAGTGGCATCACAGGGATTGTTACAAAACCAATTAAAGGCAAGTATAGTTGCTTTGTCTGTCACATAGCTCATAAGTTGCTTCCATTTTCATTTGTTGTAATTGCTTGAACTGGTTGTTTTTTCTAGGTGCTCAAAAGGAAGGAGCAGCTGGCTTCCTCAAAGGTGTGGGAAAAGGTTTAGTTGGAGCCGTGGCCAGGCCAACAGGTGGCATCATAGACATGGCGAGCAGCACTTTTCAGGGAATCAAAAGGTAAAAACTTTGTGAGTGACAGATTAGCAACATTCTAATGCCATCAAGTGTATCTACTGTTGGTTTGCAGGCTCCTACTTATGAACACGATGGGATGGCAGATTGCATATGACTTCCTAATTTTGATTCTTGCTAAGCTGCTCTCATTATGTGACTTCAGCGTTGTAGAGTTCTTTTGTCATCTGCTTCCAGCAGCTGTTGTCAAGAATGGTTTGGCCAGCTAAGCTTTTACTCAGCTAAAATACATCAAAGTGTGCTATGTGTGTTGGTTTTAAATTAGCAAATTCTCCCTGCTTTTGAGAAATAAAAAAAAATGTCACCATTCTTTAGATGACATTGCATTTGCCTTTCCCCTACGTTTATGATCTCACTTTAAGATCTGTTACATTCATTTTTCTCTCTTCATTGTTTATTTCTGGCTTTGTACAAGTTAGAATGAAAGTAGGGAAAGGGGATTTGTTTCTCCTCCCTGTAGTTTTGGCCTCATAAAAATATCATTTTGAGCCGTAATTTTACAAGATGCTCAGAAGGCTGAAATCCAAGAAATGCAAAATGTGTAGCAAGCTATGCAGACTTCTCACAGAGCTGCTAGATTTGCCCCCCAACCCCCAAGGGAAAGCCTTGCCATTCTGTATCTACCTTCATTACCTTCAAGAGTCAAGGACAAAGTAAACATTTTAGAAGGAGTAGTAAAGGCCAAGAACTGCTAAGGGATATCCTTATGAAAGAACACTTCAGATCAAAGAATTGGTTATAAGAATTGAAGGTAAAATAATCAATTAGTGGCTAAATATAATTGACCCATATAGAAACAACATTGGAACTTAGTAGAAATTAATAAAATGTGATTTGGAAAAGGAACAATTACCATGAAGTAGTTAATTGATAAAGTGTATTTGCTTATTTCTGAGATGGAATTAACTTTAGAAAAAAGTTTTTGAGAATCAACTAATTAGCAAATAATCAAAACTCCAGAAGATAAAAATTTTGAATGTAGAGCTGGCTATGGTGGCACACGCCTGTAATCCCAGCACTCAGGGAGGCAGAGACAGGCAGAGTTTGAGGCCAGCCTGGGTCTACAAAACAAGTCCAGGACAGCCAAGGCTATACAGAGAAACCCTGTTTCGAAGAACAAAACAAACAAACAAAAAAACTGAATGTTGTTCATTTCAGTTTCTCAAATTTTACAAAGCAAAGCTGATAAAATTATAAGAACTTTATATATATATATATATATATATATATATATATATATACATATAAATGTTAAAATTTTTCATTATATATAATGAAACATTTTTATATCTTTGATGCAACAGGAAGATAAAACTGAGTAAATGGGTAATTGAGACATACTAATGAGTTGTTGGCTACACACACACGGGATTATTTATGTATCTCTATAATATCAATTACAGAGTATTCTTGTCACTCAAGAAATCGGCACTGAACATAATGGCAGTGCTCCACTTCTTACACATTGCACACTTTAGTAGGAAAGTAAAGTAAGTAGCTGATAAATAATGTATGCTATGTTAATTGCTAAAAGAAAATTCCGTGATGATAAAAGCAGATAGAGTTAGGGATGTGGCTCAATGTAGAGTGATTGTTGAACCCTAGGTTCAGCCCAATTCTGATGAACTAAACAGAAGGAAGGACACATTAGGAGAAAGAAGGCTAACCAAAGTGGTAGTAGGAAAGTTCTGTTTTCCTTTCTTCCTTCCTTTTTTTATTTTTCAAAGAGTAGGTGTAAAGGAGGTTAGGCTCCTTGCTCAGTACAGGGCACAACCAGACACCAAGTTCTCAGTGCACAGGATATTTATAACCCTGGAGGGACAAACTGACCAAGAGGCCTCTTGGTCAGACAAATAGCAAGCAGCAGCAGGTTTTTTTTACAGTAGCGTTGGGGGGGAATCTGTGCTAGAGCAAGTTTGTAAATTCTGATTGAACAAGTTAGCCAGTATAGCCAAATAATGAATTTTGATAGTTGGACCTTGGTGTTTCAGGAATGAGTCAGTGTCCAAACACCAGAATGAACCTTGGGGACTAGCTTTAGGGATGTAATCTAATGGCTGTTAGCAAGGGAGAAAGAAGGGTAAAGGGCAAAACCTTCAATGCCATGTTTGCCATGTTTGGGTCTGCTGGAGAGCCCTTCAGTAAGAAATAGTTTATTCTGATAAGAGTGACCATGGTTCAAGACTAATGATTGAAATTACCCTGGATATCATGTGCCACTGTGACAACAGTAAGTTTTTAATAGTGAGAAAACAAAGCAAATTAGAAATCAAGATGCTGTCAAGTACATTGTGTTTGTTGGGTAGGTAGATTACAAAAAAGTGAAGAAATCTGTTACAGGCTTCCTCATGCTGTCTGGTGACATTCTTAGTTTTGAGGATATTTTTGTTTTGTTGGTTGGTTTTTGTATTGATGGAAGCTAGTAACTTGCTAGTAATAGATTTTAAAAGTTTTGAATAGTCATAGGATGTTATGTCAAGCAGGAGTGGGCAGTAATGTAGCCCAAGATAATTTGGGTATGGTCTGCAGCGTATTAATTCTCCATAATCATGAACTTCAGCCATCTGGCCTTGTAGAATTCTTTTTTTGTTTTTAAACAGGAAAATACTATCTTTGTGATGAAATAATATTTTGACTATAACCATTAGAAATATATGACATAAGATAAAAATGCTCACTTAACTAACATGATTTTTTTTTTTACTGTTTTCAGATCACTGTTATAAAGACTCTTCACTTGTAGATATAAGTGCTAGTGAATATAATACATTCTAATTATTCTCTTTTCCCACCATCTTTCATCTCCATCCATCCCTATCAGCCTTCCTTAACCTCTTTCACATATTCATGACTTTAGATTCCAGTGTGTGATCAGTTTAGTTAAATCAAGACCATCTGTGACCATTGGTTTGGGACTATTTTAACTCGGTAGACACACAATCCCCTTTCCCTGAATCTATCCATAGGAAATGGCAATAAGGAGGAGGGACCCCATCCCCTTCTATCCTTGCCTGGCTATTGATAAGCTCATTCCTGTGCAGATCCAGTGCTGTCCCATAGTTTTGAGAGGACATCAGCTTTTTCTTAAGACTCTTGGGGATTTTTAAGCCAGAGGAGGCACGTGAGCTGGGGCTGCATTCAGAACTTACAGGCAGATCCGAGGATGAAATGGACTACTTGACTGTAATCCAGACAGATGGTGGCAAGTTGACCGTTACAGTGCTAGGAACCATGAAAAGAGATCCTGTCCTCTACTTGTGTGTTTTACTTGTGTGTTAATGAGCCAGGAAGAGTGGGAATCATGAGTCTAATCATGACTCTATGAACATGCTGGGAAAGTTGTGAGAACGACAGAATTGAAAGATGTCTTGTAAATTTATTGAGCTTTAAATTTCTTTTACATACCCAGATGGAAAAGCCGAGTAAGTTATTTAGTGTGAGAGTCTGGAGATTAGGAGAGAGGTCCCAAGCTACCATTAAAGGTTTGAGTTTAGGCCCTGTAATGCAGTGTTTGTAACAGAGTCCATGACTGCTTAGAGATTAAAAATAGGAAAGAGGAAATAAGGAAGAGTGCTACCTACCTCAAGAGCCAGCTTACCACTCCTACACATATACCTGAAAGATGCTCAACAGTACAACAAGGACATTTGCTCAACTATGTTCATAACAGCTTTATTCATAATTCCCAGAATCTGAAAACAACCTAGGTATCTCTCAGCCAAGAAATGGGTATAGAAATTGTGGTACATTTATACAATGGAATACTACTCAGCAATTAAAAATAAGGAAATCGTGAAATTTGCAGGCAAATGGATGGAATTAGTTGTACGTTTATATGCAATGGTAGGAAATAATGTAGAGGGATACCTTCCATAGTGCATTATATGCCCTGACTACTGTAACAAATTACCAACCCTGGGACAAGAGTAATCTCTTTTTCTCACAATTCTGTTCCTTTGGAGGGAAGATTTTGCCTGAAGAATCTTGAAGATCCTAGTAGCTGGTGGTATTCCTTGCTTCTTAGCTGTACTGTTTCATTTTCTGCTGTCATCTTCATATTCCTTTCTCCTTTGTGTGTCTGATATCTCTCTTCCATTTATAAGGACACTTTTGGTGGCATTTAGAGTACACCTGTATTATTCCCTTACTTTGCAGTCCTTTAATCACACTGTAGACTACTCGTCCTGGAGACGAGTCTGTGGAGCCATCATCCAGACATTATGGAGGCCTTCCCTATTTTCCACAGGTTAACATTTTGTAAACTATAGTATAATGTGACAAAAGGGACATTGGCTGAGTCTGATAGAATTCAGATTTCCACAGTTTGACATACTAATTTACTTATATGTGTACAAATTATACGTGCTTTTGTGATTCTTGTGGTTTGATGTATCTACAACTATAGTTAAGATATCAAATAGTTCTGGTACGAAAAAAAAAATCCCTCCTGTTTCTTTTTATGCTTGCATAAGAACTATCTTTAAACCCTTTTCAAATTCTGTGTTGGGCTGGTTGTTCCTTTATTGTTGAGTTGTAGTAATTCTTTTTTTTTTAATTTTTTAAATTTTAATGTTTTATTAATTATATTTTTTCACTTTGTATCCCACCTTTAGCTTTCTCCCTCCTCCCCTCCCAATCCCACCTTCCCTCTCTTATCTCCACCCATGCCCCTCCCCCAGTCCACTGATAGGGGAGATATTCCTCTCCTTCCTTCTGATCCTACTCTATCAGGTCAGGTGATCAAAGAGCAGGCCAATCAGATCATGTCAGAGACAGTCCCTGTTCTTCTTAATAGGGAACCCACTTGGAAACTGAACTGCCATGGGCTACATCTGTGCAGGGGTTCTAGGTTATCTCCATGCTGATCCTTGGTTGTAGTATCAGTCTCAGAAAAGACCCCTGGGACCAGACTTTTAGGATTTGTTGCTGTCCTTGTGGAGCTCCTGTCCTCTCCAGGTCTTACTATCTCCCCCTTCTTTCATAAG